AGGCTGAGAAGTCCAAGATCATCGCTCTGGCACTTAAGGTGTCCAGTGAGAGCCTTCTTCCTCATTCATAGATAGAAGTCTTTCATTTTGTCCTCACAATTCAAAAGAGGCAAGGAATCTCTCCAAGGCCTCTCTTATAAGGGCAGTAATCTCATTCACAGGGGCCTTTCCCTCATGACCTAATCACCTCCCAAAGGCTCCACCTCCTAATACTATCACCTTAGGGGTTGGGATTTCAACTTAGGGGTTTGGGGAGTGAGGGGTAGAGAGGGATGCACCTATGCTATAGCATATACCTGACAAATATTTAAGCAGTTGAAAGCATTGCTGTATGTTTCTGTGCCAGTTTTGTGATCTTTGTAAGAAATGTATTCGTGTTTTCCCATATGGCCAAAAGGTCTGAAGTATATTCATCTGAGACGTAACTTCTGTTTCTTCTTGCTTTTAGCCTTGTACATCCTTTTTCCAAAATGCTTTCTTCACTAGATAATGCCTCTAAATTATCCAGGTGTCTGTTTTTAAATTTTTTTTTATTTCAAAAGTAATACAGATTGATTACAGAAAACTTGAAATCCAGAAAACAAAAGAAAAATTACCTGTGTACTCTTATCACATGAAAATTTGACTTAAAAAATTAAAATCATTCTGGTTCTTAGTTTGTGACCTGCTTTTTTTTTCTCTCATGCACTGTGAATGTGCCACATTATTAAATATTCTAATGCAACCTAATTTTAAATGATGGTATGAATGTGCCATAATTTAACTTGTAACCTAAATTGGGCATTTGCTCTATTTTCAGTTTTTGCGATTAAAAATAACATGATGAAAATCTTGCTCAAGTTTGCACACATCTCTGTTCCTCCACAGGATAAATTTCTAGATGAGCCATCACTGATTGAAAAGAATGTTTAGTTTTATGGCTTATTCTGATGTGATTAGGTTGTCATTCATAAGAATTGTTACAGTTGACACTTGCATAGGATATGTGTTTGTGCTCTTTTACTTGTACGTTTGCTAGTACTTGGTACAAATAGACACTTTCCTTCAGAGATTCCTCCCCACCCATCCGCATTCCCTTTCTGATACCTTCAGGCATATTATTCTTTCGTGACACTTGAGGGAGGGGGGTTTAAAAATATTTTTAATTGACGAGTAAAAATTTTACATATAGTGTATAAGTTGATGTTTTGATTTATGTCTGCATGGTGGAATTGCTAAATCAAGCTATTTAACATATATTACCTCATATACTTGTCATTTTTTTGTGACGAGAACACTTAAAATTCACTCTTAATTTTCAAATACACAATATATTGTTAAGTGTAGTCAACATGATACGTGATAGATCTCTTGAACTTGCTCCTCCTAACTGAAAATTTGTGACTTTTGGCCAACATCTTCTTAATCCTCCCACCCCTTAGTGTCTGGTAACCACCATTTTACTCTGTGTCTACAAGTTTGACTTTTGTGCACTTACCATATAAGTGAGATCATGTGAACTCTGGGTTTTTTTCACTATATGATAATTGTAATTATATATATATATGATTGGTTCAGGTTTATCTCTGCGAGTTCCATGAGGACAAGGGCCTTATCTAATCTGTTTACCTCTGTACAGTGTGAAGCACATAGTATGATCTCAATACATACTTATTGAATAAATAAATGGTTTTTAAAAAATTTTATAATTTGATGAGCAAATAACTATATCCGTTAATGTGTATTTGAGATTGAGCTTTATGCTTTACTTAAAGGCTACTTAGTCTTCCTTTTTATTGCCTATTCGTGTTTTGGTTCATTTTTCTGAAGAGTGTAGCTTTTTGATTTAAAGCTCTTTCTCTTCTCTGGTCCTTTAAGCTCCTATCTGAGTATAGCTTATTTTGTCACTTTCTATCTCATTCACTTAATTTATTGCCCATTCTTCATGTTTGGTGTATAAGCATCTGAGACAAAAAGCATTGTTGAAATCACTGATTACCTCCCAATATTTCTTCTCCCTCCCACATTATGACTTCTGCCCTCTATAATTATAGATATCCCCAACTTTTCCTGGAATTTAAAAAAATCTCCACTGCATTCAGTTTAAAGTCACCTTAATTTAGACATTTTACTTGAGAGAAACTTTTTTTTTTTTTACTTTTTTCAGACACATTCTATTCCTAGCTAAAAGCTCATCATTTTGCTATATTAAACCAAAGATTGGCAAATATGTTCTCTAGCAGATTACATAGTAAATGTTTGAGGCCTTGTAGGCTAAATGTTCTCTGTATCTACTTAACACTGTCCTTATAGTGCAAGAGCAGCCATAGGCATTATATGAGTGACAGACTATGGCTGTGTTCCAATAAAACTATGGACACTGAAATTTGAATTTTATATAATTTTCACATGTCACAAAGTATCTTTTCCCACAGCCATCTAAAAATATAACCATTCATAGCTTATGGGAAGCACAAAAAGAGGCCATAGTTTGCTGACCCTTGTCATAAGCCGTGATCCAGAGAGACACAAGTCTGTAATCACCATCCTGCCATTTGCCTCCCAGTTTTCCGAACTCTTAAAATTGATTAAAAACCAGAAAAGCCTACCCCTCTGTTCCACAGTACTTTCGTTTCTTACATAGAATTTGAGGTCCTTGAGGCTACTTCTCTGGTCTCATCATTCATCCCTGTAGAATCGGCAATGCCTTCCTCTCCGCTGTCTCTCCTAATTTCTGTGGATTCTACCTTTGTCGTATCCCTTCTTTTCTGTTCTCTTCCGGTACCCTAGTTAAAACTCTTGCCTAGAGAGTTGCAGTGGTTTCCTAACTGGTTGTCCACCCATCCAGTCAGATTTTCTGTTGCCAGATTACAGTTCTGAAAATCTGTCTCCTTCGCTAAAAATCTCTAATAGCAGTATCTTTGTTTTTGCCTCTATAACCAAGAAAACCTCCTTAGCTTGGCATTGAAGGTATTCCATAATATAACATTAATCCACCTTTCTAGTTTTTCTTTCACTATTTTTCCAATGCCTTAGGCAAAGTATTCTGTTCAATTTCTTTTATGAAATTCCTTCTACCTTCAATGTTCTCTCTACCGTGTCTCTCTGCAGAATTCTCCCCATCCTGCAAGGTCCTTCTAAAAGGAAGTCTTCTGTATGTTTACAGCTTAATGACGCAGACAGCCTTAGGTTATAGATGCTTATGTGTTGATCTCACTTTTCTACTTAATTGTAAGTGCCTTGAGAGGAATTACGCTGTCAAAGGTAATCTTTTTTTTTTTGTCGCTGAAACACTTAGCGCAGTGATAATTTAATAAGTTACTGTTACTGAATCTGCAAATAATGAAAGAATGGTTCAGATAGGAAAGATCAGTTATCTTCAAAAAGATTGTCTTACTGTTCACAGGGAGAGCTTTTAAAAAGTATCTCATGGCAACTACAGAAGAAATGTAAAGAATCCAAGACCAAGGGCTAGAACCTTTTGTTAAAGATAATGATGTAACCCAGATATCTAATCCTCTCCTTCCTAGACCTATGGAAATGCCCAAGAAAATGTGAAAATAGGGAAAACCCCTCAGAAGTTTGATAGGGAGCCATGCACTTACCAAAACTTGGAGGGATTTCTGCTGAATGTTGTGCAAGTGATACTGGATGGAAAGAAGAATAGTTAGTGCCAGTGGGAGAATCCTGCCAGGGTGAGCGCTGCTTGCTGTAGGAGCAGGCAAGGGTCATGCTCACACCATGTGCCAGGCATTACGTTGTGTACTCTACGTGCCTCACCACATTTAGTTTTCTTGTCAGCCTTGTGAGAGATGGAGATGATCTTCATTTTTCAAGTGAAGAAACTGAGATCTAAAAGGTGACACAGTTTATAAGTGATGTCAGGCCAAGTAAGAGTAAGAAGAAAGACCTAAAGAAATGGCTTGGAAGGAAAAAGTATTTATAGTGATTGTGTCTGGGTGATAAGATTTTCAGCAATTGGTATTTTCTTTATATCTTTGTGACTTCCTTTTTTTTTTTTTTTTTTTTTTTTTTTTTTTTTTTTTTTACATTGAGTTATCAACTTTAAGGTTGACTGAACATAACTCCACGATCTTTAACTCTGCTTTAGTTCTCCAGCTGTAGCTCTTCACTGGACCTTGGCTAAACGGATATGCTCCCTGTTACTTTCCCATTACACCCTCCTGTCCTTCCAGCTTGCTTTTGAATTATTCCCATGCATGATCATTTTATTTTAGTGGGGCCTCTGTATGCCATTGGCTTCTCTCTACTAAAATCCTCAGACTCCTACTGTCTTAACTCAGATTCCTCCTGTCCTGACTTCCTACCTGCTAAGTTTATATTATCATCCAATATTTCCTGAACGTTATTTTTCCACTTTTTCTGCTTTATGAAATGTCTGGCCTTCCTCCTCTTTCCTTCTGCTTTCAGGAATGGGCCTCGCATCTGAACTCACAGAGAATGCGGGAGCTATCAGATAGTAACTCTCTGTACCTTCTGAGGCCACGTTCACAGAGCCTTTCTGTGTATCCTACCTTTTCTCCCCGTCCCTTTGCTTCTATTACAACAGAAGAACTTTTCCTTCCTGCCCTTTAGGGCCGGTTGTCCCACCATCTAGTGACATTCCACCATCCCATCTCTTCCCTGCATTAGGCATTCATTGAGTATGTTTTTAATAAATATGAAATACTTTTATAAGTAGAAAATTTATAAGTAGAAAAAGGTAACAAAAGTTCTTTCTGAGTAAGAGTATCGGATTGAGTAATAGACTCTAGAATAATTGTTAGAGAATGTTAGCCCGGAAGATTCCTCAGCATTTAGTTTCATAATGGTTATCTACTCTTAAGTGTGTTTTATATGGTATGAAATATTACAGTTCCTCTAAAGAACAGTATTTTGTCTATTTAATTGCAGTACATCTCCTTTTATAGATTTTTTTCTTTACATATTGTTTAGATCTACCTTTGACTGTACTTTGGGCGGGGGGACTGTGACTTGATGTTTTTTTTCTTTTTTCATAGCTGGAGAACACATTCAAATCAGTTATTGCACAAATTGGACCTGGAGGAACTATCAGTCCAGAACTAAAACATAAGATAAAATTTGTGAGTACTTTCTGTTTCTGGGAAACAATAATTGATTTATAAATATATGTATCATTTGTGGTTGAGTTTGCCTGCAAGTATTAGTTTTATATTTACATCTAATCTTTTCTCATATACTGCAAACTAAGTGACAATTTTTTAAGAATAAGAAACAAAATACATACTCTAAAAATTTTTAACGTAGGCCAGGCTTAGTGGCCCATGCCTGTAATCCCAGCAGTTTGGGAGGCTGAGGCAAGCGAATCACGAGGTCAGGAGTTCCAGACCAACCTGGCTAACATGGTAAAACCCTCTCACTACTAAAAATATAAAAAATTAGCTGGTGTAGTGGCGGGTGCCTATAATCCTAGCTACTCAGGAGACTGAGGCAGGAGAATCATTTGAACTGGGGAGGCAGAGGTTGCAGTGAGCTGAGATTGTGGTACTCCTGCCTGGGTGACAGAGTGAGACTTCATCTTAAAAATAAAAATTAACATATAACTATTTAGCAGGTAAGTTCTTCCAGGAGTCCTCTCTTCCTTACCTTCTTTCCTTCATCCCCACAGATCACTGTTGACAAACAGTTCAAGATCTTTCCCAATACCAATTTAATAACATGTCCACTAAATATTATTCCAGGGTGTGGTATTCCATTATGTTGATGCACTCTGTTTCATGTAGAGATCCATGATTAATTAAAGTTTTGGTATTTTTATCTCTGGCTATGAAAAAAGTGCTCCAGATAATGTCCATGGACATTTTTCTAGAAGAATTGCTAGTCAGAGGTATCTTATGTTTTGATTATAAATATTACTAAATTGCCCTCTAAAATGTTTGAACAAATTTATACTGTTGGGAATCCATGAGGCCCATACGTTGGTGTGCCAGAATGTAGGGAATCCATGAGCCCTACACATTGGGTGCCAGAACATAAGGATCCGTGAGCCCCCACATTTAGCACCAGAATGTAGGGATCCAGCCCTACATCACTTGTGGATACCCTGAGTTTGGTGGCGACAAAGGAATGAGAAGAAGACAGATTAAAAGAGATAGTGGGACCAGGGGGCCATCACTTTATTTCTCTGGCAGTGAAGGCAGTGAAGGCCCCAAGCTCTGATCATCTACTCTATTTATTGGTTACAATCACTTTGATCCATAGGGTAAGGGTGGAGTGATGGTGGAGTGAATCAGTGAGCCGGAACTGGTATGTCATGCTACGGATTGATAACAGTGGCAGTTTGGGAGTTTCACAAAATGAGAACATGTGGTTATCTTTAACTTATCTATGTGCAGCTGGTGGAACTCAGGCCTTACAAGGAGCCTGCAAGTCTGCCTGTGTCATAGTGCTACAAAGGGGTTTTATGTCCTTGAGCACGTTTATGGTAACAGAGCCTAGGTCACCCTGCACTGAGGCATGAAGAGGCCTTCCTCCTCAGAGGCCTCCTTTGGCCTTCCGTGGTTTGTTGTTCCTTGTTTATATGTTACTCATAACCAATTTATGTAGGCACTCTGTAAGTCCTTTCTCCTTTGCTGATTTTCCCAACAATACTCCCACTGACAGGTGTTACTATCCAATCATGTTGTTTTGGTTTATATCTTTTGATTTTTACATTAAGCATCTTTTCATATGCTTAGTGGTCACATATATTTTTTACATGCATTGCCTGTTCATGTTGTTGCTCTTATTTGTTTTGCCTTACTAGTAAGTGAAAACTCTTTGGTGTTATGTATTGAGCCAAAGAGTTACGTACACTTAAATTTTTGGTGGGAGCTGTTAATCCTGATTTGAGTAATCCAGGTTCTATTACAGCTTGTACTGCCTTATATTATTCCATTTCAACTGTCATGATTTTACTATGAGAGATGCAAAAACCTTGATGTGTTTAGGCCCTGTGTTTTTGTTTGTTTGTTTGTTTGTTTAGACACTTGAGCAAGTATGCAACAAATACTTGTTAAAGGACATTCAATATGACTTTTTTTTTTAAGAGACAAGGTCTTACTCTGTCACCCAGGCTAGAATGCTGTGGTACAATCATAGCTCACTGCACCACCAACTCCTGGGCTCAAGGAATCCTCTCACATCAGCCTCCCGAGTAGCGGGGACTACAGGTACATGCCACCACACCCAGCTAATTTTAAAAGTTTTATAGAGACAAGGTCTTGCTATGTTTCCCAGGCCTGTCTTGAATTCCTGGCCTTAGAGATTCTCCTGCCTCAGCCTCCCAAAACCCTGGGATTACAAGAGTAAATACAACCTTTTTTTTATGGTACCAAAAATTAGAGAAAAATTAGGCATTCATTTCAAAGGATTAGTTACATATCAGTAGTGGATATTCTCTAAACTAGGGAATGTCATGTAGCTTATGAGAAAGTTCATGTGTGTCTCAGTTTATATGGAAGTTTCTCCTTGACATGTTTTGGACTTTAAAAACAGGTTTTATAGAATGACATGTTTAGAATTGTTCTTTCATATAAAATTATGAATAACATATGTGCACACATAGGAGTTTCTGAAAAGATGTTTCTCTGAATGCAGTAATGGCTGCCTCTGGGTCACAGGATTTTGAAATAATTTTTACTTTTTATTTTTCCAAAGCTTGAATTAGAGTTCTATATAAGGTATATCTGGAAAAATTAAGAAAACAAAGATTTTTATACTTTATTGGAATAGGGTAAATCTTTCAGGATGTTGTCCTAAAAATCATTGAACTCAAGCATGAGGTTAATCATTCCAATATTTGTCATGAAAAATAAGAAACAAAATAGAGAATCAAATAAATTTAGGTGTTTTTAATATTTTGAAAAATCTGTGGCCAGTAAAAATGTTTCTGTTTTTACTGACAGGGAGAGATATCTTTAGTGTGATATTTAAAAGCTGGTTATAGAAATATTGACCTTATTTTAATATTAAATACAGATTCTTTATGTACATATGGATAATGCTGTCTGTGGACCTTTTATTTTTGCTTAACTTTAATTTCCTAAGTTTTCTCTAGTGTTCATTGCATTTCTTTTCTAACAATTAAAATGCTTGAAGTTGTGCTATAGAATATTTTATGTGAGCTAAGCTAAATGTGTTGGCTTAAAGAAGTACGGGAATTTCTGGAGAGTTGTGGCATTGCAATATCGTGTAATAATGGTTTCTCAACTCTGGAAATGTTCGAAATCACAGTCTCTTTTGTTATAATGTTTTTTAAAACTGGAAACATTTTTAAAAAAAAAACAATGTAATATGACTAAAATTCATTTAATAATGTTACTTTTGTGTTTGTTATTTGTTTATATAATTTAATATTTTGTCACTCAGCATTTCAATTGTGTCTATATTGTATTTCACTTTTTATTTATTAGGTTGTATCTAAGTTCCCAGAGGGTTTGTTTATTTCTAAACTGCTTGGAGAGTATGAGGTAAGTGTTTTGTTTCTCCCCAACCCTGATTTTTTTTATGGCTTATATTTCTTGTGAAAGATGGAAATTTTGTGGTTATTCCTTGGATTCTCCAGGTCTATGTTCTAAAACAGAAACATTTTGTTTTGCATTTTAGTATCTTTATTATGAGAGTTGAGAATATGATCTTTAACAAGTACTTGATTATGCATAGGAAGGATATTGTTACTACTTACTGTTATTATTTAGAATAAAGACTATCTTATTAATGTCTGACAATATTATACCAGTGTCAGTGGGAATGCAGAGAAGCAGAATACCTCATATACTGCTTGTGGGACAAAACGCTTTTAGAGAGCAGTTTTCATTATCAAGTAAAGTTGAAGATATGCACCCTCAGGCATCCAGTAGTTCCACTTTACATATGCACTCTAGAGAAACTCTTGCACATGTATACATGAAGACATGTAAAGAAGTGCACAGCACAGCATAGGAACAAATGAGAGACAAATCGTCATCAGCAGGATAATGGGTAAATAGAGACTGACATTTATACGATGGGCTTGTATGTAATAGAATAAAATAAATCTACAACATGGATCATTTTTAAAACCATAATGTTGAGTGAAAAGTCAAGTTGCAGAATAATTCAGATAATGCCATATATCCAATTTTTAAAAAGATAAGTCCTATATGTGTATTAGGTGTGTGCTCTATCTGGAGCATCTTTCATATGGGCATATGTTCATTTTGTTTTCACAACAAATAGAGGCACAGAAAAGTAACTTACATAAGCATTAGACTTCCAGTAATAGGTGGAGACAAGATTTGAACCTGGGCAGTCTGGCTTCAGAATCCTAACTCTTTACTATGCCATGAAAACTATAGTATATTTACAGGTAAAAAAAAATAGATATTGCAAGATAGTGTAGCATAATGGTTAAGATACATACTTCCGTGTGCTATCTTATAGACAATATGTTAGTTCAAGATATGTTCAATATGTTAGTTATAGAGTTTTGTGAAGTTTAAATGACTTAAAAATAAGGCACTTGGTACAATGCCTGGCATGTAAGCTCTGCTCATATCATATCTCTGCTGACCTTTGAACTGCACATGCTTGGGGTACACATAGAGCAGCCTCTGTTCTTTTTTTTTTGGAGACGGAGTTTTGCTCTTGTTACCCAGGCTGGAGTGCAATGGCGCAATCTCGGCTCACTGCAACCTCCGCCTCCTGGGTTCAGGCAATTCTCCTGCCTCAGCCTCCTGAGTAGCTGGGATCACAGGCACGCGCCACCATGCCCAGCTAATTTTTTGTATTCTTAGTAGAGACGGGGTTTCACCATGTTGACCAGGATGGTCTCGATCTCTTGATCTAGTGATCCACCCGCCTCGGCCTCCCAAAGTGCTGGGATTACAGGAGTGAGCCACTGCGCCCGGCCGCCTCTGTTCGTTTAAGGGTAAAAGAACTGAAGATATTTCAGCTGTTGCCCATCACAGGGTGGCAGATTTTGGGTTAAATTCAGTCAAACAAATCAAAAACAATACTCTCCAAAGGAGGGCAAAGGATTCCAGAATCTCTACAATACATCTTATCATGATGCCTGGGATACAAACCAAAATTACTAGATGTAATAAGAAGCAAGAAAATGGGATCCCTTGATAAAGAGAAGGTGATCCATGGAAACTGTCTCTGAGATGATGCAGATGTAGAAGTTAGCAAAAAAGGTTTTAAAGTAACTCTTATAACCTTATTGAGGATATAAAGGAATATGTATTCAGAGTAAATAAGCAGGTAAGATATTTTATTGCAGAAAAAGAAACTATAAAAACCAAGTGATTTTCATGACTTAAAATATCTGAAGTAAAAAAATTCACTAAGAACAAATTGGAAATGGCAGAAGAAGGCTTTAGTAAACTTTAAGACAGATCAATAGAAATTATCCAGTTTGAAGAACAGAGAAGCAAAACAGAACTTGAGAGACCTGAGGCCTGTGGAATAATACCAAATGGTTTATTATATCTATTAATATAATTGGAGTCCCAAGAAAGCGCAGCAGAAATATATTTGAAAAAAGAATGGCCCTATATTTTCCAAATCTTGTGAAAGAAGTTTATAAATCTAAGAAGCCCAGAAAACCTCAAACAAATAATACAGAGAAAACCTTACATAGACACATCATAGTAAAAATGCAGAAAACCAAATAAAAGTAGAAAATTCTGAAAACAGCCAGAGGAAAAATAACACACTTCATACAGGAGAATAGTGATACAAATAATGACTGACCTCTCATTAGAAGCAATGCTAGAAGACAGTGGAGTGGCCCTCTTTGGAACACAGCATCACTTACAGTATTGCCAAAGAGATCAAAATGAATCTCATCAAGCCTGGGGGGACTTCCATTATGCTAATTTTCAGGAAATGTTTGTACTATAAGATTGTCAGTCTTTGAGGAAACAAAATCATATAAACAGGATATACATATTTGAAAGCATAACTCTAAACTCTTAAAAAAAGGATAATTCAAGTTTGGTTGAAGCTGGAAGGAAAATAAGGAGGGTGGGAGTAGAAATTTATCAATTTCTTTCTTTTTTTTTTTTTAAGGCAGTGTCTCACTGTTGCCCAGGCTGGAGTGCAGTGGTGCAATCATAGCTCACTGCAGCCTCAGCCTCCCAATTAACTGGGGTTGCGGGCACATGCCGTCATGCCCAGCTAAGTTTTTTTTTTTTTTTTTTTTTTTTTAAAATTGTAGAGGCAGCATCTCAAAATGTTGCCCAGGCTGGTCTCAAACTCCTGGCCTCAAGCAGTCCCTCCTGCCTCAGCCCCCCAAACTGCTGGGATAACAGACATGAGTCACTTTTCCCAGCCCATCAATTTCTTCATTGCTCATAGTTGGGAGCCAATAAAGCAGAAAGCATAAAAAAGGAATTAGGATAAAATATAACTGACATATTAATAAATTGACTAACCTTTTGAAAGAAACTGAGTCTCAGGATTAGATAGCAAAACTCAACTGTGTTTCATGTACTGATATAGTAATTGAAAAAAGCAAGATGTATCTAGTATATGTAATCTCTTATGTTGAAGCATGTTTGAGTTTTGATAATTTCTGGAACGTTATAACAAGAAACTGGCAATAATAGTTACTTCCAGGGCAGTGATTGCTACGTGACTGAGGAATGTTTTTTTGTTGTTGGTTTTTTGCCAATTTAACTGAAGTGTTTATTTTGAAAATAGTTCCTGATTAAATTCACATCCTGCCTTTTAATAATCAGATCATTCAGCATCATTGCAGTTTACCAAAATGCAGATAAATTCTAAAGGAAAATGTGATTTCTGAATAATAACTATCAAGTCAAAGTGATTGAGAAATCCAGATGAGCACTGTGTTCTCATCTGCTTGTATCTCATGGTGCAGAGGAGAAAGCTGGAAGATGGCAACTTACATTTTCATGACTGATTTGTCAGATAACAACCCAATATAAAACTCAAAAATAAATCCACAGCATAAATTGAGGAAACTGAAGCTTGTTCACTGTAAAAACCAAAAGGATTGAGAATAATATATTAAAATTCAAATGAAAGACTACCTGAAGAGCTGAGATGAGGATACATATCAGAAGGTTTTCCACTGAAAGCATTAAAATTAGTATTAAAAAGATAATTTGCATGATATACTAAAAATATACTGAGTTTTTCAATATGAAATGCATGTAAAGAATGAAGATAGCAGTCACTCAACAAAAAAGTCTCTTTAGATGTAGCAGATTTTGTTTTTTAGTCTCAAAAGTAAGCAAATTTATCACAATATTTCTTAGGATAATACATACAATAAATGCACTGAATTTATTGTCTTTCTTAGAATAATACCTGCAGCACATGCAAAATATGAAGACTGAAGGCAGCTTTGGGAGAACATTTCACTTTAAACTTTCGGAATAGATTTTTTATGTTTTAAGAATTTATGTAAGATAGAGTTAATATAAATGAGACTAAAATAATGGTGATGCTTTTGACTGTGGAATAAAATAACTGATGATAGATGGTTCTTTTAAGACATGAAATGTTTTCTGTTTGGGGAATGCATTTTATGTGTCTGTCCTGTATATATTGTCTTCTGTCTTTATTTGGTATGACTTCTTCTTTTCTGAGGTAAGAAAATCAAACTGTATGCTATGGGAAATACCCTGATAGATATCTGCTTATTTATTCCAACTTCTAAGGTGAAATAATAACATTTAAGGAAATATTTTTAAACAATAATTTTCCTACATGTTAGAAGTGGCACTGAATATTATCTTTAATGGAAAATAGAGAAATACCAGTAATTTTATTACAACTGTTGTATTTTGTGCATTGTCCTCTTTTATGAAGAAAACTTTTCCTTTATATTCAGACATTGTTAAAAATGAGAGGTGAAAAGCCCCTCCTAACTTTTGCTTCACTTTACCACATGCTCTAAAAAGAACTTGACATTGACCTAGAAGTTTTATGGTAAGGCTTAATTGATCACTTGGTTTGTTGGTTTGTTTTATACTGCTATGGAAGCGAGCCTTTACTCTGTAATACTTGAGTTCATTGACCCTTAAAGATTTAGTTTGGCTAAATTCAAATTAAAGCATTGTCCAAGGATAGCTATGTATGTTACATTTCTGTTATCTAATGCTGATTCATGTAATTACTGTTTTTTTCTGACAGGTAATTTTTCAGGAGCAACTTTCACCAAAAAAAATGGGCTTCTTAAATGTGACAGAACTTGTTGGAGCTCTTAGTGACATTCTGCATGTTGAGTTCAGGGAAGGACAGCAAGACTTAGTAGTGTTTGATGTTGATAAGAAGCCTCTGCCTCCTGGTGAGTAGAACCACAGTACAATGCAAACCTCATTTTTATTGACCTTATGAGGACAAAGACAAAACGTAAAATAAATGCCTAGCCATGAAATGTTTTGTATATAATGACCTCCTTTCTGGTGGTATTTATTATAATAAGGTTAATCTGTATTAAAACAATCTGAATTTAAAATTTTTACTTTCTTCCTTGTCTAGTTTTTTTTGTTATTCTTAAGGAAATAAAGTTTGTAAATTATTGATTTGATAATGCAGTTGTTCTTAGGCTGTGCATCAGAAGCTTTTTAGAAATATATAGAGATGCAGAATAAATGGGTATGTGCTGGGACCCAGCACTTGAATTTTTTCAAAGAAAAATTTTAGTGTTACAGAAAAATTATTAACTCTGTATTACAGAGTTCCAGTACACCTTTCATCCAGTTTCTTCTAATGTCATATATTACCATGATACATTTATCAAAACTAAGAAATGAACATTAGTACATTGCTCGTAACTAAACTCCAGATTTTGTTCTGATTTTACCAGTTTTTCCAAGAATGTCCTTTTTCTGTTTCTGTATCCACTCCAGGATAATATTGCATTTAGGGCACTTGTTTTTTTGAGCAGGGAGCTTCTTTTTCTTTTGAAGTTTTTATTGAGATAATTTTAGATTCACTTGGAGTTGTAAGAAATAATACAGTATGATCCCATGTACCTTTTACCCAGTTTCTCCAATGGCAACACCTCGCAAAACTAGACTGCAGTATGGTACGTGTATTTTCATAAGCTTGTACGAGTGGTTATGATGTACAGTTTTTTTTCCCAAAATGTAACTACCTTTATTGATTCTTCTGATTATTAAAGTAACTCATGTTCATTCTGAAAATATATAAACAGCACAGATGAGTAAAGAGAGAACATTTTCTATTATTTTAACCTCCCTAAAAAATAATGCTGTTAGAATGTTTATATAGCCTGCCAGACTTTTTCCAGTGAATATGTAAGATATAGATAGACCTTTTTCTTAAATCACAAAAGCTGCATATGCTTGTCTAAACAATTCCAACGATACAGAAGTAACTAGCATTAGTAGTTTTAGTGTGTATATTTCTGGACCTCTTCTATAGGATATAGCTAATTATCACATGTATAATTTTTCCTACACAAAACAGTAGCATATAAATACAAATTTTCCTTAACTTACCATGGGGTTCTGTCCCAATAAACACATCATAAGAAGAAAATGCATTTAACATACCTAACCTAGTGAACATTATACCTTGGCCTAGCCTACCTTAAATGTGCTCAGAACACTTACATTAGCCTGTAGTTGGGCAAAATCATTTAATACAAAGCCTATTTTATAATAAAGTGTTGAATATCACCTGTAATTTATTGAGTACTGTGCTAACATTGAAAAACAGTGTTGTATGGGTACCTGGAGTATTGTTTCTAACGAATGTGCATCACTTCATAGCATAAGAAAGTAAAACCACTGTGGACATCTGATTGTATTTCCATTTTTCATAATCACAAAAAAAGATACAGTGACAAATATTCTTGTACCTACATCTTTGTGTACTTATGTCTTCATTTTTTTTTAGGAACCATCATGTTTGTAGGTATATCTGGAGTCTCTTTTTTCTTTTTTTCTCTTTTTGAGATTGAGTCTCGCTGTGTCGCTCAAGCTGGAGTGCAGTGGCACAATCTTGGGTCACTGCAATTTCCGCTTCCCAGGTTCAAACGATTGTCCTGCCCCAGCATCCCGAGTAGCTGGGACTATGCCGGGCTGATTTTTGTATTTTTAGTGAGATGGTATTTCACCTTACTAGGCAGGCTGATCTCGAATTCCTGACCTTGTGATCTGCCCACCTTGGCCTCCCAAAGTGCTGGGATTACAGGCATGAGCCACCATGCCCAGCCTGGAGTCTGTTTTAATGTGCCAATCTCTTGTAGTTATATCATCTTGTGGTATACTTTACATGATTAACTTGAAAGTTCCTTAAGAATTAGGGGATTGTATTATGGAATATCGAGTAGTTACATACACTCTATGTTAAGCAACAAAGAATGTTCACTGTTTAATTTAAACAAAAAGTAAATTAAAATCAAGATGCTAAAAAAATTGTCTTTTACTAAAGTTTAAGAAACTTTATCATATCGCAAGCTTCCCTCCCCCACCACAAATAATTTAAGATTTGTTCCCATTAGAACTTCCCTTATATTTTGCCACACTTGAAAGGTCTGCAAGGACAGCTTTGTATCTCTCATTTATCATTGTCTGTCTAGCACCTGGTTTGTTGAAGGTGCTTAGTAACAGTTGTACAGCTATTTTAACAAATATGTGTAGGCTGTTCTATTGGCCATTTCAGATGAAGTTGTTTCATCAGTCAGAAATTTGTGTTTAGTTCAATCAGATAAGAAAATAGAAGCCAAGGCTTATGTCTCCAGTCCACCTAGAAATTCACTGTCTACTGCTACTGTCAAAGAGACTGCATGGAATTGTCCTTCAAAAAACCAAAAAGAGCCACAACAGAAAATTTGCAAGAAGCCTAATGTGGTGGTAAAGCCTTTACAGCTGGTGAGTGAGGTTTAAAGACTGTGCATTGGAGATGCAGCATTATGCAAAGTGAATGTATGTTTCTTTAAACCAAAATTCTTTTTAGAAAAGTCTTATTTCTTGATATATCATTTCTTAGAAGGGATCATATCTTTGTACTCAAGTTACATCATATAGCATTCTTTCAAGTTTTCAGTCTTTTATATAACTTGCTTTTCCTCAAGGCTTATTTTAAAGTTTTCTGATGGTTTTTATAGTTGACAGCTCTCTCATGGTGATGTCTTGAAAACCCACAGGGGCTTTATAGGGAAAACTGAGAGGCTCCATTTTGGCAGTGTGCTTCAACACTGCTGCAAGTTGCCTCTCACCCATCCTCAGTTATAGGGTGCGTTTATTGTTTTTTTCTTTTATTGCATCTCCACACACAATTCTCCCTTTTTGTGTTCTTATCTCCCATTACTTATTTTGTTGTTATTAAGAAATCATTGCTTGTTCTTTTTCCCATCTACCCTCTCTACCTGACTTCTTTCATGGAAGGACAATTTTTTTAAAATTATTTTTTTACTCTAAGTTCTGGGGTACATGTGCAGAATGTGCAGGTTTGTTACATAGGTATACAATGCCATGGTGCTTTGCTGCACCCATGAACCCATCATCTACATTAGGTATTTCTCCTGATGCTATCCCTCCCCTAGCCCTCCACCTCCCAATGGTTCCCGGACATGCTGTTCTCCTCCCTTTGTCCATGTATTCTCATTGTTCAACACTTACTTATGAGTTAGAACATGTGGTGTTTGGTTTTCTGTTCCTGTTTTAATTTGCTGAGAATGATGATTTCCAGTTTCATTCTTGTCTCTGCAAAGGACATGAACCCGTCCTTTTTATGGCTGCATAGTATTCCATGGTGTATATGTGCCACATTTTCTTTATCCATTCTATCATTGGATGGGCATTTGGGTTGGTTCCAAGTCTTTGCTGTTGTGAAAAGGGCTGCAGTAAACATAATGTGTGCATGTGTCTTTATAGTTGAATGTTTTAAATCCTTTGGGTATATTCCTAATAATGGCATTGCTGGGTCAAATGGTATTTCTGTTTCTAGATCCTTGAGGAATCACCACATTGTCTTCCACAATGGTTGAACTAATTTATACTCCCACCAACAGTGTAAAAGCATTCCTGTTTCTCCACATCCTCTCCAACATCTGTTGTCTCCTGACTCTAATGATTGCCATTCTAACTGGCGTGAGATGAAAAGTTTTGTTTGGAGAGCTTTCTGTATTTTCTGGAGGACGATTGATGGCCTAGAGGAAAACAATGTTTCAGAATGAGAGTATTTGAGAAATCCTGCTTTTGATTGGAAGACTTGTCTGAAATTTAACCTATTAAAGTTAGGTTTGATTGTCAATATCTTTGAAGTATCATATTTTCAATTTTGCATAGGGCAGTTGTATGACACACTTTTTAACTCTATACCTAATGTCATAAGGCAGTAGTTTTTATATTTTAACATAGGTAAGAATCACCCAGGGAATTTTTTTTAAATGCCTAATTCTGGGCCCCATTCCCAGGCATTCTGAATCAGTTTAGGATAGAGTCTAAGAATCTGCATTTTTATAATATCCCAAGTGATTCTGATAAAGATGATTCACGAAATACACTTTGAGAACCATCCGATGGGGTTTGAAATGTCACCAAGAGATTTTTAATGGTTTCTTTTTTTCATCCTAATTTACAGCAAGTGGAAATAGACAAATCACAACTCAACCTGGCAATGGCAAATCATGACATCCCACCAGATGCTGTGCGTGACAAGAAATTATTCAGACTCCCACCATTAGACACCAGTTCCCTTGTAGGGGTCTTTGTGGAGTATATCATCTCTCCTAGTCAATTCTACATCCGGATCTATAGCAGGGATTCATCAGAGTTACTCGAAGATATGATGATTGAAATGAGGTAGGAGTCTGTTGTTTTCAGGGTGTTTTTCACACATCTCTTAAATAAGCAGTTCTCAAACATTTTGGTTTCAGGTCTCTTAAAAATTAAAGACCTAAGAGAACTTTTGTTTATCAGTATTTATTGTATAAAAATTAAAACTGTAAAATTTCAATATTAAAATAATCCTTGTGTCAATATAAAGAACATTTTTATGAAAACTTTTTCTTTAAATATTTAGAAGGGTGGCATTGTTTTATATTTTTGTAGATCTCTTTAATATCTGGCTTAATAGAAGAAAGTTGATTTTTCATATTCACTTCTGCATTTAATCTGTTGAGATACGTTGTTTTGGTTGAAAAGTATCTGAAGAGATCTGGCCTTACACCAATATGTAGTCTGGGAAAAAGTATTTTCACAAATTTCTCTTTTCAGAAAATTCCCAAAACTTGACAAATGGTAGTTTCTCAAATGTTATTTGGAATTTGAACTTTTCATACTCTATTATGTTAAAATCCATTGGTCTGCCATTACACTTTGAATGGATCTAAGACTGGCTGTGTAATTGCCGGCCCTGGTGCAAAATTAAAATGCAGGACCCCCTGTTTAAAAATTACTAATTTCAGGATGGCAACAGCAGAATATTAAAGCAAGCACAAAGCTGCTTCTAAGCATGGATTCAAACTAGGCCTGAATGGATCATACAATTTTATAACATCATGTATTGGTCATTTGGAAAATAACTACTTCACTGAATTATGCAGATCTTCCAAATGTTGATACATTTCATTACATAGTATAAAAATATTATCATTGATCTCATCAGAAAAGTATTTAGTATTGGGAAGCTGTCAAGTTCACAATGGTGGATGCAACATTTCCAAAATCCTTTTACTTGCAAGTTTGTTCTTTATCATTGACAATGTGTACTGTGATTTGTTTTGCTTGAAGTGACAAGCTTGCTTCATTTTTGAAAAATCTGTGTCAGATACCCAAGTCTGAATAAACAGCTTGCTAGTGGTTCTTTCAAGCAAAAATGATATCAAAGAAGTGGCTAGTTCATCTTCCAGGTAAAAATCATGTTTGTGATTTTATACTTTGAGAACTACTGACTTATATTATCTCTTTTCTTTACTAAAAACTGTCCTTTTTAAAAACAAAATTAGCAAACACCATATAAAATGTGGACATTTTCAACCACTTTAGATTTATTCATGAACAACAATGTCTGATTTCTATATTGTTGTCACAGAAGAATATTTTATTTTGTATCAAAAAAATTCCATGTTTTTAATTTGACAACATTACATATTCATCTACTCCAGAACACCTGGTATAATGTAAGTAGCATAAACACTTGGTAAAAATATTATATATTCCATTTCAGTATGCCTATGAGATGTTTGTACATGTTTTAAAAGCACACTCACTGGCTCTGTGACCTTAAAGTTACTTTACTTCTCTGGGCCTAGTTGTCTTATCTCCAGAATGAGATCACAGTACCTACTTCACAGAGTTGTGAAAATTAGAGCACTTAGAGCCTAGCCCAAATGTTGGCTGCTATTATTATTAATACTATAGACTGGGTACAATGCGGTTCATGCCTGTAAACCTAGCACTTTGGGAAGCCAAGGTGGGAGGATTGCTTGAGCCCAGAAGTTCATGATTAGTCTGGACGACGTAGTGAGACCCTGTATCTAGAAAAAAATTAAAAACTATCTTGGCATGATGGTGCATGTCTGTAGTCCCAGCTGCCCAGGAGGGTCGAGGCTGCATTGAGCTATGATTGTGCTACCGCACTTCAGCCTGGGCAACAGGCTGTCTGGAAAAAACAACAACTGTAAATGTAAAAACTATACAGAAAAAAATACTGTATTGTGTTTGGTGTCAGAATGTTTAGGCACTTGCACTGCAAGGATAAGTAAGACATGGTCTTTGCCTTTGTGAATACCATGATTAGCTAAGAAGATGGGAGATACACGAGATATTGTTAAAGGGAGTTGTTCTGCCTGGGCAAGGTGGAGGAAAGCCTCACAAAAGAGATAATTGAGCTAGGCCTCAGAAGACAAGCATTTGCCAGTCAAGGTGGTTGTGAGTGGGTATATTCAGGTCCAATTGCTGGAACCAAGGCCAACATTAACAAAGGAGTAACTGGTATGCCCTGGGAACAACCATAAGTAAGTAACGTTAGCACCAGGTGAGGTTGCAGGAGTCAGGAAGGGAGAGACAGTGACTGGATGTGATGCTGGAAGACTAAGAAAAAGCTAGATTCTGAATACTATGGGAAGATGTTTTCTCTTATTCTATAGACAGTGGGGAAGCACTGATGTTTTTAAGAAAGGAAGGACATCAACAGTTTGTATTTTAGGAGGATACCCCTACTTGCAGAGTAGAAGATGGAGGAGGAATGAAGAACTATGAGTGGACTAGCTTTGATGAGAGCGAGAATAGAAAGGAAGAGAAAAATTAGGAAAATGAAAATTGTCAGGTGACAAGACAGGGGTTGAGAAGAATAAGAAAGAGAAAGAGATGATGAACACTGTTTGCTTTAGAGACTAGGTAGGTTTGAGCTGGGGTGAAAACTTCTTAATAGAGGTTTATCTGTAATGTCTCTAAGTTTGACCGTGAGAGTCATTGGCAATGTTGAATAGATGGTATTAGTTAGAATTAGGTTTAGCTACGGTTAGATACAACTTCACTGTAGTAGCTTAAAGAAGAAAAAAGTTTATTTCTTCTCATACTAGTCCAGATAATGCATGCAGATATAATAACTCTGTGTTGAGAGAGACACAGGTGTAGAATCTTGCTGCTCCAGAATAGTGTGTTGTCCTTGTTCACGTGGTCTTGGGTCCAGGTCCTCCTTTCGGCTAGTGGGAAGGGGAAACAGAAGTGGGGGCTGGGAAACACCTGTTTTATTGAAAGACACAATCTGGAATTTTCACTCTTAAAACTGTGGGTAAAATACACATTGAATGTACTCATTTTAACCATGTATACTTTTTCTCATATCCCATTGGCCAGAATTTAGTATTCATATAGCCACAGTTAGATGCAGGGGAGCTTGGGAAACATGAATGGCAATTTACCCAGTTAAAATTTGGAGGAATCTATTACTAGAGGAAAGGGAAAGAGGAAAATGGGTGTTGAGGAACAACTAGCCTATCTTTCATATAGTTGGAAATATTTGAGTTTTGAAGTGCAGAAAGGATGCAGGGTCTTCTGGAGATGGATTGAGAATTGACAGTTTATCAGTAGTGTGGTATAAGACTTGAAAATGGGTGAGAGTATATAGCAAGAATAATAGCTAATATTTGAGTGCTTACTATATTTGTACACTGTCGTAAACTCTCAGATGTTTTAACAAATATTTTATTTTTATCATCCTCATCTTCAGCAAGGAAACTGAAGCACAGAAAAATTGCCACACAGCTAGTAAATGATGGAGTCAGGATTTGGACCCAGGTTATTGGTGCCTAAACTTATGTTATACTTCCTAAAGATAAGACCCCAGTGAACCTCAACATTTAAGGCAATACAGAGCCAATTTTAAAAAGTAGCTATTGACAAAGAAGTAGTGAATTGTGTCTTAGAAACCAGGAAAGGGTTTGAAAGAGGACAGGGTAACACTGTAACAAGATGATGTGTATTGAAGACTGAAGAGAGAGGCTGCTGGATTTGGGAATTACCAGGTCATTGATGTCTTAAAACTAATTCATCCTAGGAAGTGCTGGGGAATGAAGTCAGGATACATTCTATCTAGCAGAGAATGTGAGATCAGAAAATGAATGTATAACTTTATCTTTGAAGAAGTTTATTGATGAAGAGCAGGGATTCAGATAAGGAAAAAAAACAATTAATTGGTATTAATGAACACTGACAATATGACAAAGTCAAAATGTTTTCCTTTGCTTTTCACCAGGACTTTCTGGCTTGACACATTGATAAAAATTATCTTTAATGTCTTATTCCCCTGTTGATTTCTCTGTATTACGGAATTCTACAGGCGCTGTTATTCTAATCAGCTGGTTTCTGATCGATATGTCATGCCAGAATGTTTTATTCAGCCGGGACATCTCTGTTGCGTGAGGATTTCTGAGGATAAGTGGTGGTATCGGGTCATTATCCATCGAGTCCTTGGAAAACAGGAAGTTGAAGTGTTCTACCCAGACTTTGGAAATGTTGGAACTGTTCAGAAGTCCTCCCTGAGGTTCCTCAAGTGAGTTGAATTGAATTAGAACAATGGATGAATTAAATTTTGAATCACAGTGTTGAAGCTCTGTGGGATTGTGATATTTCTTTTCTCTTGTCTTCCTCCATCCAATCCTTCCTTCTTTCTTTTTAGTGCATACTCAACAACTGGGTCATTTAGTTTCACAGATGGATTGTAACTCTTGCATTGTCTTTTACATAATACTGAATTTTGAATGGACCATGAGACTACATTTTAGTCTCTTACTAAGAAAGCAATTCTTTGGGTTATGTTAAGAGGTACATTAACATAGCAGGAAGATTGAACTTATATATTGGATTATCTATTGCAGGTGCTGCTACACAAAGCTTCCAGCTCAGGCTATCCCTTGTTCCTTGGCTTGGGTGAGACCAGTAAAGGTATGTTTGCTTGTCTCTCATTTAATCAGCAAACACTTGAGTGCATATTATGTGCCAAGAACAGTTGTACATGCTCAGAATACAAAGATAAAACATAGAACCAGCCCTCAAGTCAGTGTATAGCGTATGGAAGATAGATAATATAGACAAAAATTGTTATGCCATGTAAAATTTGCTATAGTAGAGGCTTCAAGAGTGTATGATAAAGGAAGATTGCTTGTTTCTGTCCAAGGTAATCAGGGAGGCATCTGAGTGGCACTTTGAAGGAAGATTAGGAATGTAACTGCATGAAAAAAGAAAGGCATTCTAAGCAAAGGGAGAGTAGCATGAAACATTTCAAATGGGAGAAATTTTAAGCAGTTCTGTTTGGCTACAGAATATAGGATAAGCTAGCTTGGGTACATGGTAGAAAATGTCCCATCTATCACTGATAGACTGGATAAAGAAAATGTGGCACATATACACCATGGAATACTATGCAGCCATAAAAAAGGATGAGTTCATGTCCTTTGCAGGGATGTGGATGAATTTGGAAACCATCATTCTCAGCAAACTGACCCAAGAACAGAAAACCACACACTGCATGTTCTCATTCATAGGGGTGTTGAACAATGAGAACACATGGACACAGGGAGGGGAACATCACACACTGGGGTCTGTTGGGGGTGGGGGCTAGGGGAGGGAGAGTGGTGGGTGGGGAGATTGGGGAGGGATAACATTGGGAGAAATATGTATTGTAGGTGACGGGGGGGATGGAGGCAGCAAACCACCAGGGCATGTGTATACCAATTTAACAATCCTGCAAGATCTACCCATGTACCCCAGAACTTAAAGTATAATAATAACTTATATATGTATATATAGAAAATACCAAATAAATAGGAGCCTAATGTGAAGACCCATGTTCAGAAGTCTGAACATTGTTGTCCTTTAGAGGCTGGGGAACAACTAAAGAATGTAAATGGACAGATACATATTTTCAGGATAATTCTCTAGCAGATACATATTTTCAAGGTAATTCTCTAGCAGATGCATGTTTTCAAGATAATTCTCTAGCAACATCGTGGCAGGGGTTTGAGGTGGAATGGTGCAGGAGGCATTTTCATGTGTGTAGGTGCATTTGTTAATGTGTTATAATTATCTTTTGTACCTAACTTTGTATTTTTCCTTCAGAACTCTTACTAGTGCATACCTACACATTTATTATGCCATATTTGTTTGCCTAATCTAAATAAGGCATCAGTTGCTCACATATAGATTATTTAAAAAATACTTTTTATCTGAAAAATTCTGTAAAGAAGAAAAACAAAATTACCTATAATTCCACTACTCAAACATAAACAGTTCAGAAATTTGGTGTATGTTTCTTCCAGTTTATTTTATTGGATGTTCAGAGCAAGGGTTTTTTGTATGGTTTTCAGCATTACTTAAAATAGTAATCATAATATTTTGTATTCTGCTTTTTTGCCTAGTATTATAGGGTACTTTTATATGTTATTAAGCTGTCAATTTTAATGGATTCATAGTGTTATCTGTTAGGTAAATATGCATCATAGCCTGCTTAACCATTTCTTTATTGTTTGATATTCAAACTGCTTCTAATTTTTGACTATTAGAAACAATGTATGCAAAATATGTTTTTTTGTGCAAGTCCGTATTCAGTATTGTTTTCTTGGGTGCATTTTAGCCCTGAATAAATTTCTTTTTACTATTTTGCCATCAGGAAGCACAGGACTCAGTTTATGACTCAGTTGTCGCCAGTGTTCATTATTTTCATATCAGCCAGATAGCTTTCATTTTTTTGTTCTCTTTTTTCTTTTTTCTGACAGTCTGGCTTCATTGCCCAGGAGGCTGGAGTGCAATAGCGTGATCTTGGCTCACTGCAACCTCCGCCTCCCAGGTTCAAGCAATTCTCTTGCCTCAGCCTCTTGAGTAGCTGTGATTACAAGAATGTGCCCCACACCTGGCTTATTTTGTATTTTTAGTAGAGGCAGGGTTTCACCATGTTGGCCAGGATGTTCTCAAACTCCTGGCCTCAAGTGATCTGCTTGCCTCGGCCTCCCAAAATGCTGGGATTACAGTCATGAACCTCTGCATCCAGCCTTTCTTTCTTCCGTTCTAAACTCCTTCTGGCCTTAGGGCATTTGCACATTTTGATAACTGGAATAGCTTATTCACAGTAATCTCATGGTTGTCCTCCTTGTCATTCTAATTTAAGTCCAAATGTTATTTCCTCAAAAAGGACTTTGACCTGACAATTAAAAATGCACCCTTCACTTAAGTCATTCATTGTAACCTTGTTGTATTTTGATAATGCTTAGCGCTATCTGGTATTGTCTTGTTTCTTTATGCATGACAGTGTGAGTCCCTGAAATCAGGGAAACTGACTTGCTCACCACTGAATCTCCAGTACCCAGAGCAATGGCTTGGTGCATGGTAATTGCTCAATGAATAGGTTTTTAACTAAATGAATGTATCTCACTTTATTTGTCTTTTTTCTGATTTCAAAAGTAATTAATGTTTTTTGTAATAGCATAATAGCAACAGACTATTACACCCATTAGCAAAATTAGAAGCAGGCAAAAAAAGCAGAAGTTAAATGGCAATAGGACTTTTCAAGCTTCTTTTCTGAGGGTACTCCTTAATCTGCAGTCTTGCTGTCTTACAGAATTATAAGGCATTGTTTGGAAATGGCAGAACAGCTAGAATTTAGGGTGGAAATACTTGAAGGCAGGGAGTCACAGAATGGATGAGTTCCCAAATCAGTATATATGATCTGCCCAAATCCTTAGGTGACTACTGAACTTCCTAAGTACTGGGGAGAACTCAGTAGCCCTAGTGAAAAATCAACAGCTGGCATTTGAGGTGACTGGACAGAGATTTCTGTTGCTGCAGACTGCAGAAGAGACAGTTGAGAGTTTAAGTCCAGACAGTTTTAATTGCTGGCTAAAACAAAACCACTCTTGAGAAGAGCATGACAGAATCCAGAATCTCTAAAACATATTGACAATATTTACTGTTCAACTAAAATTCACTAGACATGCAAAACAAAACCCAGGAAAATGTGACATATACTCAAGGAAAAAAGTAGCTGGTAGAACCTGACATTGAGATGTCCCAGACATTGCAGTTAGCAGACAAGGACTTTAAACCAGCTATTATGAATATATTCAAGGACTGTGAGATTTACTCATCACTGAGGAACAGAGAAGGAATTTCTGCAGAAAGGAACCATTTAAAATAAATGGAAGTTCTAGAGCTGTAAACTGAAATAAATGAAAAGTTTCTGGATAGGCTTAGTAGCAGATTTGGAGACAATGGAGGAGTCTATGAACTTTAAAAACAGATCAAAAGAAATTATCTAATGTGAAGAAGAGCATAAAAAAATAATTAAAATGAAAATGGACAGAGACCTAAGGAAATCTATGGTTCAAGATCAGATACCCCACATATGTGTAATTGGAGTCCCAGAAAGAGAGTTGAGAGAATAGAATGGAAAAAAGGAAGGCCAAAAATTTCTACAAAGAGGTCATATTATATTCAGTTCCAAGAATATCAACGAACTCCAAGCAGAATAAATACAAAGAAAACCATACCTAGGCACATCATAATCAAACTGCTGAAATCTAAAGCAAAAAGAGAAAATCCTGAAAGCAACAAGAAGGGGGAAAATACAGGGAACAATAATATAAATAATAACTAACTTCCCATTAAAAGGAACAACACTGAAGTCTGAAAGAGAAAAAGAAGTCAAGCTGGAATCCTGTATCTAGTGAAAATATCTATCAAAATGAAGAAAAGAGAAACTGTCAAAAAGTAAAAGCTGAGATTGTCGCTAGCTATCTTGAACAAGAAATACTAAAGGAAGTTCTTCCAATTCTGATGTTACGTGAAACCACACGGTAATGCAGATCTATGAGAAAGAAAGATGATTATGGAAAATGATTAATATGTAAGCAAATATAAAAGACTTATTTTAATTTTATTCTCTGAATTTATTTAAAAGACATAGAACTTTTAAAAGTAAACCGATTATACTATATGTTGGACTTCACAGCATACGTTAAGGTAATATATATTTATCCCAAAAGTCTTAGTGCAGTTTAAGCTTTAATAATTAAAGAAGTATAAAGACTACAAGTCATAAAATTATTCAAAAGTTTAATTTTTAACTTGATATGTCTTGTTTCTATGTAACACTTGTTTTGTAAATTTTGACCAATTTTTTAATCTTAATATTTGGTTTCAACTTTCACCACTCCAACAAAAGATTGAAATGTATTTATAGTAGAATTTTCATTTTTTATTCTTTCTTGACTATTTTGATGTCATTTAAAGTTTCATTTTTGGTATAAATTCTTCATAATTTTTTTTGTCCTTTTGATGTTGACATCTGTAGTGATATGTCCTTATATACTCCAAATATGTATTTGTGTCTTTTTTAAGGATCTAAAGAGACAGATATTTGCCATTTTGAATAGTTTGTTCAAAGAACCAAGTTTGGCTTTCTTGTTTCTGTTATAAACATTTTTTAGTATTTTGTTTATTTCTGTCTTATTTTTACTGTTTCCTTAATTCTACTTTGTTTGGGTTTATTTTGTTCTTTCCCCAAGTTCCTGAGGTGTGCAAGCTTAGATTATTTCTAGTCTTTAGGTGGATCTCATAAGTTTTGCTGTGTAGTAGTTCTATGATTGTTCAGTTAAAATGTTTTCTAATTTATGTTTTGCTTTCTTGTTTGATTCATAGATTATTTAGAAGTTTATCGGCTTATAAACATTTTTCCAATTTGTCCTGTGGTTGATTTCTAGTTTAAATATACTGTGGTCAGAAATCATCCTCTGGATATCAGCCCTTTAAATATGAGGAGGCTGCCTGATGGTCCAGTACAGTATCACTTTTTGTAAATGGTCATGTCTTCTTAAAAAGTGTACATTCTACAGTTGTGTGCAATATTTTATATATGACCATAAGGTCAACTTTATTGTGTGAAACTCATTCTTTCTGATTTTTCTGTGTTGCTTTTCTGTAATTATTGAAAGAAGTGTGGTTTTCATTTATGATTATTTTGTGTATTTCTTCCTATAGTTCAGTTTGTATTTTGTATACAATTGAGGCTATATTATTAGGTACATAGACAATATCAAAAATGTTATATCTTCCTGCAGACTAGATGTTTTATCCTTATGAAGTTAACCTCTTTATTTCTACTAATGCTTTTTGCTTTAAAACTTGTTTTGTCTTACATGAATGTAACTCTATCATTTTCTATTTAATATTATCCTGGTGTGTTTTTAAACTGTTATTCTACTTTCAACCCTTTTGTATCTTTATATAGATGTCTTTTATGAACTATATATAGTTGTATTTTTTAAAATACAACTTTTATATTAATATATGCCTTTTGTCTTTCAGTCAGAATGTTTAGTCCAATTACATTTATTGTAATAATTAAATATCTAGGTTTAAATCTTATACTTTATTTTGTGTGTACTATATGATATATCTATTCTTTTTCTCACCATGCACACCTTATTTTGAAGAGATTTTTAAGATAATTCACTAAGTAATACACTGTATTATTTTAATAATTACTCTAGGAAATACAACATGTATAACAATGCAAGGACATTAGATCACTTTAACTTCTTTATGCTTCTGACCTGTATTTGTTGTGTAATGTTACAGTTTTTAATGCCCCCAAGAAATTGCATAAAATGTCAATTTAGATGTAATTACATATTTATCTGCTCTTCATTCTTAAGTCAAACCCTTCTTCTGGACCCATTTTCCTTCATTTGAACTGTGTATCCATAGGATTTTATTTAATGAGGGTCAGCTGGTAGCAAAATTATGTTTATCCAAAAATAACATATCTTTCACTTACCATAGAAAAATGTATTTATCCCTTTGTCAGATGATAGATTGCAAAAATTTTCTCCCATTCTGTAGGTTGTCTGCTCACTTGGATGATCGTTTCTTTTGCTGTACAGAAGCTCTTTAGTTTAATTAGATCCCATTTGTCAATTTTGGCTATTGTTGCCATTGCCTTTGGTGTTTTAGTCAAAGTCTTTGCCCATGCCTGTGTCCTGAATAGTATTGCCTAGGTTTTCTTCCAGGGTTTTTATGGTTCCAAAGAACTTAAACAAATTTACAAGAAAAAAACAACCCCATCAAAAAGTGGGTGAAGGATATGAACAGACACTTCTCAAAAGAAGACATTTATGCAGCCAACAAACATGAAAAAAAGCTCATCATCACTGGTCATTAGAGATGCAAATCACTCACATTGCGGTCCCATCTCATGCCAGTTAGAATGGCGATCATTAAAAAGGAAACAACAGATGCTGGAGAGGATGTGGAGAAGTAGGAATGCTTTTACACTGTTGGTGGGAGTGTAAATTAGGTCAACCATTGTGGAAGACAGTGTGGTGATTCCTCAAGGATCTAGAAATAGAAATTCCATTTGACCCAACAATCCCATTAATGGACATAAACCCAAAGGATTAGAAATCATTCTACTATAAAGACACATGCACACGTTATGTTTATTGCAGCCCTTTTCACAATAGCAAAGACTTGGAACCAACCCAAATGCCCATCCAATGATAGAATGGATAAAGAAAATGTGGCATATATACACCATGGAATACTGTGCAGCCATAAAAAAGGACGGGTTCATGTCCTTTGCAGGGGCATGGATGAAGCGGGAAACCATCATTCTCAGCAAAGCAACACAAGAACAGAAAACCAAACACCACATGTTGTCAGTGGGAATAGAACAGTGACAACACATGGAGACAGGGAGGGGAACATCACACACTGGGGCCTGTCGGGGTGGGGGGTGGGGGGATGGGGGGAATAACAGTAGGAGAAATACCTAATGTAGATGAAGGGTTCATGGGTGCAGCAAACCACTATGGCACATGTGGTGCCATGGTGCAAACCTGCAGGTTCTGCACATGTACCCAGAACTTAAAGTATAATTTTAAAAAAATGTATTTATGAGGTGTAGCATTCTAGGTTAGCAGTTAGTATCTTTAGCACATTGAAAATATCATTACTGGTTTCTGGTTTCTCTTACTGTTTTCTGATTAGTCAGCTGTCAATTTAATAGACGTTTTTTTGAAGGTAATGTCCTTTCTGAGAAAGCTAGAGACTGTTTTGTTTGTTTATTTTGTTCTGTTTTGAGACAGAGTCTCACTCTGTTGCCCCAGCTGGAGTGCAGTGGTGCGATCTTGGCTCACTGCAACCCCCACCTCCCAGGTTGAAGTGATTATGCTGCCTCAGCCAGCCTCCAAGTTGCTGGGACCACTGGCATGCGCCACCATACCTAACTTTTTTCTATTTTTAGTAGAGACAGGATTTTACTATGTTGGCCAGGCTGGTCTTGAACTCCTGACCTCATGATCTGCCCACCTTGGTCTCCCAAAGTGCTAGGATTACAGGCGTGAGCCACTGCGCCCAGCCTCTCTAGCTGTTGGTAAGATCTTCTATTAGTTGCTCATGTTCTTCGGCTTTAGTGTGTTGTGTTTATGTGTGAATTTATTATTTATGCTACTTTATGGTTCACCAGACTTCATTTATTTGTGGTTTGTTACTTTTTTAAAAATCTTGCAAATGCCCAACTATTACCTCTTCAGTTATTGTGTATTCTCCATATTCATATTTGTGTTCTTATTTCCGTGCTTTTTTTCTGGGACCATAATTCAAAGTGTTAAAAGGTCTCAGTTTTTGTTCCGTTTCTCTTAACCTTTCTGCTGTGTTTTACATCTGTCTGTCTTTCTATTTTGCATTCCGGGAAATTTTTTCCAAAATACTTCATACTTTACCAGTTTAATCTTTAATTCTATCTGATCTGTTACTGAATTGACATAAGAGGTTTTAAATTTGGTTATTATGTTTTTACTTTCTAAAACTTCTTAGTTCTGCTAGATAAATTTTTATAGATTGCTAATTTCTGCAGAGGCTTTCAGGCTAAACTGTTTTTTGTTTGAGTTTTTTGGCTTTAAGCATAGTAAGTTTTATAATTCTTTTAGAAATTAAAATATCTAAAATTGAGGATTTGTTATATTGTTTCTATTTGTTCTTTTTTTGATCTATTGTTTCTCTGTATTTTTTTTTTTAAGGTGCAGTCTTGCTCTGTCACCCAGGCTGGAGTTGAGTGGCGTGATCTCAGCTCACTGCAACCTCCACCTCCCAAATTCAAGTGATTCTCCTGCTTCAGCCTTCTGAGCAGCTGGGACTACAGGTGCACGCCACCACACCCAGCTGATTTTGGTAGAGGCAGGGTTTCACCACATTGGCCAGGCTGGTCTTGAACTCCTGACCTCATGATCCACCTGCCTCGGCCTCCTAAAGTGCTGGGATTACAGGCGTGAGCCACTGTGCTTGGCCTGTATGCTTTTTATCTTTGCCTATATACTGCTCATTGTCTTTGAAAAATTAACAGTAAGAATGGTTGAATAATAACAGGCTGAGGTTGCCAACCTCCAGAGAAGATTTATGTGTGCTTCTGCCAGATGCCGAGAAATATACCAATTTGGGACCATTTAACAACTTGAGGATGTGTGGACCACCCTGGTGATGTGAAAATTGAGCTGCAAATCCTTGTGAAGGATACTTTATTTCCTTCCTCCCCTACCCTGAGAGTGTATCTCCTTAGGGATTCAGTTTAATGAAGGAAAGTTCTCTTGTAGACTCCCCACCATAGGTGGACCCTGTCTTTGATATCTGTCTTGTTTGACTCTCAAAACCAAATTTCCAATTGCCTGGATTAGCAGGTACCCTTAAGACAAAAGTAGTTCCCTTTTTACCTTCCATTTTGGCCTGACAATTTGTTCAAGCTTGTCAGTTCTTTGTTGCCTTTTGGACATATTTAATAATTCTTTTACCTAGAATTTTCACTTATTTTCTATGGGAGGATTGGCCTAATAATCTGACTCACGGTTTCTGAAAATGCAAGTACCGTATTACATAATTGTTTACATTTTTTTAGTAATCACATTTTTTATCATTTTTCCTTTATTCTGACTTATCCCTAAATCATAATTATCCTCCTATGTGTTATTCTAGTAGTTTTATGGTTTTATTCCCATTTAAATCTCTAGTCATCAGAATTTATTGTTGTATATGGTTACTATAATTCATGTTTAGATCACCTGAATCTAATATCTTGATTGTATTTCAGGAACACTGGACATCAAAAGCTATTCTGCAGTTCCAGAAGTTGTGTGGTTTGAAGCCATTAGTGGGGGTAGTGGATGAATATGTAGATGGCATCCTTAACATTTTTTTGTGTGATACATCCTCAAACGAAGATATCTATTTCCATCATGTCTTAAGAACAGAGGGCCATGCTATTGTATGCCGAGAAAATGTCTCTTCTAAGGTGGAGTAGTCTGAATGTATTTTGTAATATAGTTTGTTTAATTTCACCACTTCATGGTATAAGATAATTTAATAAAGAAGTTTATTTGGTTTATTCTTTAACCAATTAGAGACATCCATGAGATTCCTGGCTTTTTAATGCAGAGCACTGTTAATTTTCAGATGACCACTGGAAAACTGCATCTGACTAATTGTCATTTGAAATGTGAATATTTTTATTTTAAATAATTAATTTAAAAATATTTAGATCTCTGAAATTGTCCTAGAGAATAACAACACTCCTGTTTTGCAGTTATTAATAATAATATCCCTTTCACTGTTACGTTGATAATTATTCAAACAAAAACTGTCAATATGGAGACGTTTTTAACTATTCAAATTCAGAAGATAATATACTTCCATAGCATTTGAAAGTTATTAAGTGCTTTCTCACCTTTTTTCTGTTGGTCATGTAAATTAAACTATCCCTTTTCTTTTTTCAATCTTAGGGTTTCGGTGAGCTCAACCCTATAGCTTTATACACGAAATCCAGTGGAGGGCCAGAGGACACTGTCTTGACAGAACTGGGTTATCCTTCCCAGCAGCACTATTTTAATGAAGACCGAATGATAAGTCCACAGTCAAAAGAGAATGAGTTACATATCCTGGTAAGAGATTTTTGCAAACACTATTATGATTATTTTACGTTAATCCTCATTTTTTTAGATGAAGAAACTAAGGCTTACCAAATTTTGGAAAGTCTGGAGATTTCGCACAGTGATCTTAACAATTTGTCTCTTTATTTGCTGGCTTAAATGTTTGCTTCAGTCATGCTTCCTCCTGAACAACTGCTCTCATATGCTTCATTCAGTCCATTGCTGCATTTGTGCAGTTGTGACTTCACTACACTGACTCTGAATGCTGTACTTCTTCCCTCTGCAGTACACAGGTTCTTCGGGTATTCTTGTTTCTTACTTTCCCTATAAACTTTCAGCAATGTCTCCCTTCACAGTAATAATATTATAATATCGTTATTATGTATTTTTCCAGCTCATGGTAATAAGAATAACAGCATTATTTATTGAACTTATACCACATGGCAGGCACTGTTAAAAGCATTCACATGTGTTAACTAATTTAATCTTTACAACAGCTTACCAGGTTTGTACTTGCATATGTTCATTATACAGACAAGTTGTACATCTCTAAAGCAAAAATCCAAAACCTGAAATGCTCCAAAATCTCAAAATTTGTAAGTGCTGACCATGATATCACAAGTGGAAAGTTCCACACCTAACCTCATATGACAGGTTTTAGACAAAATGCAGTCCACACTTTGTTTCATGCCCAAAATTATTTTAAAATTATATAAAATTACCTTCAAGCTATGCATATTACATAGATATGAAACATAAATGAATTCCATGTTAGACTTGGGTGTTATCCCCAGGATATCTCATGTATATGCAAATATTTCAAAATCCAAATTCTGAAACACTTTTGGTCCCAAGCATTTTGGATAAGGGATACTCAGTCTGTAAAAGGCAAGTGAAGCACATAGTGAGAACTTAATGTTTCTTGAGCAAATAAATCATGTCCTCCAAGTCTTATAAATCCTCATGACAACAGGTACTGGGCTAAGAATACAGGATGTATTTAACTTGAAGGCCAAAATTTTTTGTTTTATTGATACAATGTCTTTTTATTTTTTTGGATAAAATGCAAAAGTATTATTTAGTGTGTTTTAGATATCTGACTTTGAAAATAAAATTATAGAGATGATTTTTTAAGTAGACATTTACTGATTGTTAGAATAAAGGGCATTTGGACTACTGGGAGATTAACCTATTATGAAATACATGTACAGATGTTTCATACTGCATGTTCAAAACAATATAAAGATTTTAGATTTCCAGTTAATGTTAAAATTAATGAAGCTTGTATGCCCAGCACTTTCTGAAGCCTGAATTTTTCTTAGTTATTAACACTGGATTAGAAGAGTTACATTTCCTCATTCTTAAATAGTAAATTGAATTCAACCTTTACTATTTTTAGAATATCCTATCACTCTGTTAGTGTCTTCAAATCATAGTTTTATCCTGGAAATGAAATAAGAACAATCTTTTCTGCAAAAGAGAAAGGGCTTAAAACTCTACTATCCCACCCCAGTCTGTACTTTGACATATAAGACTCCCATATGCTACACACACACCTACACCTCTACACCCAGTTCCTTGTGAATTTCTCCTCATCTTTTGTTACCTTCTTCATTACGTCTTCTTAGATGTCCTCTTCTGTCCTATTTTGGTCATACTTTTGTAATGGCTGTACTTGGAAGACTGATTCTAGGTCCTCCCACAATATATTTTAGTTCCTTTAGAGCAGGAATCTATTGCATTCATCTTTGTATTCACAGAGCTGTCTTGTAGACATTTCATAATAAGGGCTCAATGGATGTTCGTTGGCTGGAACTGGTGTAGCAGGATAGGAAGACCTAGGATCATGATGGATAAAGCTATAAAATAATGTTGCATTTGTATTATGCAAAACAATGTTAGCAAAAACGTCTCCCCAAAATGTATAGGCATGTAGATTTTGGAAACAGCAGTAATATTGAAAATAAAGAATTCTCTTTCATATTTACTAGCAAGGTATTAATGATGAAAAGTCTTTAAGTCATCTGAAATCTGAGTCAAAGGAGCCATTAAAGGATTCTGAATTTGATTCTTTGAAAACCTGCGATAAGAGCTTTGAAGAAGATCCAAAGTGGTCCAATCCAGAGCCAAAAGATCTGAAGGAAGAAAATGAGGTAGGTGAAGGAAAGTTAGTCTTTGAATATGTGATTAATGTAATACACTGAATTCATAAGTGAATAGGACTGCAATAAACTTTCTTTAAACCCCACTGATTTTAATATTACAAATTCTTGGGCCAGGCACGGTGGTTCACACCTGTAATCCCAGCACTTTGGGAGGCTGAGGTGGGCAGATCACTTGAGGTCAGGATTTCGAGACCAATGTGGTCAACATGATGAAACCTTGTCTCTACAAAATAAACCAAAATAATTAGCCAGCCATGTTGGCATGTGCCTGTAATCCCAGCTACTCATGAGGCTGAGGCATGAGAATCCTTGAACCCAGGAGGTGGAGGTGGCAGTGAGCTGATATGATGCCACTGCACTCCAGCCCAGGTGATAGAGTGAGACTCTGTCTCAAAAAAAGAAAAAAAAATTGTCCATAGTAACCAAGACCAAAGTTATAGCAACATAACCTTGATCACAAAAAAGATATCTGGCTTTGATATGTTAGTTAATAATCTTGTGGCTTGGGGTGGTCTTCAAGAATTATACTATGATTAGAAACTAGTCTTGGGAAATTACATTATGAAGAACCCATTGGGACAAATGTTTACAACTTTTTTGGAGGATGTATTTTTGTTTTAATCAAATGTTTATGTACCCAAAACTTAGGATCCCTCATGACCCCTTCCCCTATATTTCCTGTTTCCCAGAGCATCCACGTTTCTCTCTTTTAGCTGCTTTTGGAATTTACTTCTGTTTGTTTCATTAAATAACATCTTCATGTTATTCCTCCCTGATTTTTCGGTTTTAAGTATCTATGGATTTTCCACTATCAAAGATGAGGGTTTAGTTCTCTTTCATCACCTTACCACCACCACATACAAACATAACCTTTTTGTCCCTTCCCCTTACCCTCTTACAGATATAGTATATCAAACTTTTCATCAGATTACTATTTAATATTTACATTACAGTGACTATGTAAATGCTTTTCACAGCTTGGCCAAGTATTATAGTATACTATTACATCTTTTTTTTTCCTTGTATAACTTTTATTTTCTTTCATGTTAATATTTTTCTTTTACAATAAATTAACACATAGTAAAATTGACTTTTTTGGTGTACTATTCTATCAACTTTAATAAATATGTAGATTTGTACAACCAACACTGCAGTTGGATGTAGAACAGCTCCATCATCTAAAGTAACTCCCTTGTGCTACACTTTTGCAATCAGTCTTCCCACATCCCTAACCCCTAGCTACTGGTCTGGGGTCTATTTTGTGTCACTCTAGTTTTACCTTTTCAGGACTGTCATGTAAGTAGAATGATACAGTCTGTAACCTTTGGAGACTGGCTTCTTTCATTCAATATAATTCTGTACCTTTGAGATTCATCCAAGCTCTTGTATGTATCAATAATACCTTCTTTTTGATTGTTGAATAGTATTTTATAGTATAAATAAAGTTTATATACCCATTCACCTATTGAAGGATATTTGGGTTGTTTCCAGTTTGGGGTATTTATGAATAGAGCTGCTATAAATATTCACGTACAGGTTTTTGTGTGAACATCAGCTTCATTTATCTAGAGTAAATACCCAGGGGTAAGATTGCTGGATCGTGTGATAAATGGATGTCAAACTTGTTTCCAGAGTGGCTGTACCATTTTGCATTTTCACCAACAATATATGAGTTCTAGTTGCTCCATTTTCTTGTCAGCACTTGACATGTTTAGTAATTTTCCTTTAGCCATTCTAATAGGTGTGTAGTAGTATCACAGCATGATTGTAAATTCTATTTCCTTAGTGACTAATGATGTTGAACATCTTTTCATGTGCTTAGTTGCCATCTATTTGCAATTCTTGGTGAAATGTCTATTGAAGTCTTTTCCTCATTTTTTGATTGGGTTGTTTTCTTACTCTTGAGTTTTGAGAGTTCTTTATATATTAAGGATAAGAGTTCTTTGTCAAATAATGTGATTTTCTCCCAGTTGTAGTTTGTCTTTTCATTCTCTTAATAGTGTCTTTCATACAGAAGTTTTTAATTTTGAGAAAACCTAACATACCAACTTGTTTTCTGTTATGGACAGTGTTTCCAGTGTCAAGACATCGAGTTAATTTAGCATGAAATTTAGGTCAGGTTTCATTTTGTTGCATGTAGATGTCCAACCAATCCAACATCCTTTGTTGAGAAGGCTATCCTGTCTCCATTGAATTTCCTTTGAAGCCTAATCAAAAATCAGTTGTCCATATTTCTGTAAGTCTATTTCTAGACTCTGTATTCTTCTCCAGTGACCTATGTTTATGTGTCTTCATTACTATCGCATTGTCTTGATTACTGTAGCCTTATATAGTACCTCTTAAAGTCTGGTAGTATGATTCCTATTTTATACTTCTTTTTCAAAATTGTTGTAAATATTTTGGTTCCTTTTTCTTTCTTTGTAAATTTTAGAATTAGCTTCTCTATGCCTGAGATTTTGATTGGAGTTGTATTATATAGATAATTTTGAGGAAAGTTGATACTTTAGTTCATGAGCATGGTGTATCTCCCCATTTATTTAGGTTTTCCTTTATTTCTTCAAGTGTTAGAATTTTTAGTATATATAATCTGTACATGTTCTGTTAGTTTTATACCTACATATTTCATTTATTTTGAGAGCTACTGTAAATATTTCCCCAGTTTTTGTATTTTAATTGCTAGTATATAGAAATTAGTTTTTAACTAGCTAGCCTCACTTATCAATTTTAGGGGGTGTTTTGTTTATTCCTTTTGTGGTTTTCTTTATCTGTAGTGTTGTCTGCAAATTAGGATTTGCAAACCGATACCTGTTTTCATGAGATACTGGTCTGTAGCTTTCTTCTACTGCCTTTGGTCTTTGTACTAGGTAATCCTGGCCTCATAAAATGAATCTGGAAACGTTGCCCCCTTTGCTATTTTTTGGTAAAGATTATGTAGAATTATATTTCTTTTTTATTTATTTTTTTGTTTGTGTGGATCTTTATTTTCTTTTTTTAATTGACAAGTAAAATTATGTATATGGTGTACAACATGTTTCAATATATGTATACCTTGTAGCATGTATGAGTCAAGCTATTTAGCATAGGTATTACCTCACATATTTGTTATTTTTGGGGGTGAAAACAGTTTTAAAAATATCTTCTGGCAATTTTTAAGTATACAGTATGTCTCCATTAACTGAACTTACCAAGAGTATAGTAGATCTCTTGAACTTACTCCTCCTGTCTACTGCAATCTTGTGTCCTTTGACCAACATCTGCCCAATTCCTCCACCTCCTAGCCTCTGGTAACCTCTATTTTACTCTGCTTTTTCAGATTTCATGTGTAAGTGAGATGGTGTGTGATATTGGTCTTTCTGTGTCTGGCTTGTTTCATGTAACATAATGTCCTCCTCATTCATCCATTTTGTCACAAATTACAAGATTTCCTTCTTTTTAAAGGCTGAATAGTATTACGTTGTGTATATATAACACATTTTGTTTATTGATGTATACTTTGTACAGATGATACTGTCCTAATAAAATGAGTTGGAAGTATTTGCTCCTCTGTTCTCTGAAAAAGATTACATAAAATCAGGTTCTTTTTCAGGGAGAGAAGTTAATTTTTAAAATGTTTGTTATTACCTTATAAAACCATCTGGTCCTGGAGACTTTTTTCCAGAAGAATTTAAATTATAAAGTCAATTGCTTTAATAGATACAGGATTATTCAAATCAACTATCTTAGTTTAGTCTTGGTATTTTGTGTTTTTTTGAGGAAGTGACTCATTTAAGTTATAAAATGAGGAATTGGTTCACTTCATCTAAATTGTCAACTATAAGTATAACATTGTTTATAGTATTCTCTTATCTTTTTGTTAACTGCAGGGTCTCCAGTGATAATCTGTTACAGTCCTGATATTGGCAATTTGTCTTCTCCCCCTTTTTGTTAGTCTTACTAGAAATTTATCCATTTTAATGAACTTCCCATTCCCGAGAATAAGCTTTTGTGTCATTGGTTTTATCTCTTGTCTTTCTGTTTTCAAGTTCATTGATTTCTTTCTTTTATTTTCTTTGGGGTTATTTTTGCTTTCTATTTCTATTTTTTAAGATGGAAATTTACTTTAATGAACATTGTATTTTCATTTTCATTCAGTTCAAATATTTTATAACTTATTTTGAGATACTATCTTTGACCCATGAATTATTTGTAAGTGTGTTGTTTAATTTCCAGGGGTTTGGAAATTTTCATGTTAACTTTCTGTTACTTATTTCCAGTTAATATGGCCTTGGAACAAACTTTGTATGATTTCGGTTCTTTAAATTTGTTAAGGTTTTGTCAACACAGGATATATCTAGCTTGGTAAATGCCCATGTGCCTTTGAAAAAAAATATATTCTGTTGTTGGGTGGAGTGTTCTGTCGGAGCCAGTTGATTGGTGGTATTGCTGAGTTCTTCTGATACTTGCTATCTACCAATTTTGTTGATTACTGAGAAGAACGCTGAAGTCTATAACTATAATCTTGGATTTTGTATATTTCTCTTTTCATTCTTTCAGTTTTTTTTTCTTGGGCATGTTGAAACTCTATTGTTATGTGTTACCCATTTAGGATTCTTCCATGTCTTAGTGAATTGACCCTTTTGTCATTATGATATGTCTGTCTTTATTCACAATTACTTTTTTTGCACTGCAGTCTACATAATCTGCTATCAGTACAGCTATTCCAGCTTTTGTGCGCACACACGTGTGTGTGTGTGTGTGTGTGTGTGTGTGTGTCTGGTATACTTTTTTCCATCCCTTTACTTTTTTGGAGGGGAAGGGATGGGCAGACCTAGGTGAGGTTTTATTTTGGACCAAAAAAAAAAAAAATTGTTTTGCAGCTTGAGGCATGGACAAGGGGGGTCCCCAGGCAGTAAACTCCCCTGTGGGTGGGGTGAGGGCTAGGGCTGAGCCTCAGGTGGGTCTTCTTTTCCCCATGTTCCCCTGCACCCCATGTTCTCCTGCACTGGGGCCTCCCTCCCTGGCTCTGGGGCAGCCTCAGGAGGGGCAGGCTGGGAGGGGCTGCCGCAGCTCTTCACTTGGGCAGGACATTTGAGGACTCTCAACACCAGCTTCCCATTGCGGGTCTCAATCTTCTTCACAACCATGGCCCTGGTGGTGCTGGTGCGGCTGAAGGAGCTGGAGCCTGCACCAGATCCAAAGCTGGAGCCCAGGCCATAGCTGAGGCCAGGGCTTGTGAGGGCCGGCATAGGCGGAACTCAGACCACCTGCATAGCTGCTAGTGGTCTTTGTATGGATACTCATGGTCTGCATCCCAGACTCCAGCTGGCTCTCCTTGCCCTCCAGCAGCTTCCTGTAAGTGGCTATCTCAATGTCCAGGGCCAGTTTGACATTCTTCAGCTCCTGGTACTCATGCAGCTGCTGCGTTATGTCCTGCTTGGCCTGCTGCAGGGTGGCCTCCAGTTGGGACAGCTTGGCGTTGATATCCTTAATGGCCAGCTCCCCGAGCTGCTCGTTATCTGTCATGGCGGCCTCCAGGGAAGCCCTCTGGCCTTTGAGGCCCTCAATCTCAGCCTGGAGCCAGCTGATGCTCCAGTTCATTTCAGAGATCTCAGTCTTTGTACGCTGCAGGTCATCCCCATGCTTCCCAGCCAGTGTCTGCAGCTCCTCATACTTGATCTGGTATGTGCTCTCAGCCTCAGTCTGGCTGCTGTTGGCGATTTCCTTGTACTGCGCCTTGGCCTCAGCGATGATGCTGTCCATGTCAGGGGAGCGGCTGTTGTCCATGGACAGCACCACAGACGTGTCCGGGATCTGGGACTGAGCTCCCGCATCTCCTCTTCATACAACTGCCTGAGGAAGTTGATTTCATCAGTCAGCCCTTCTAGGCAAGACTCTTGTTCATGTAAGCTTGATCACATCCTTCTTGATGAAGACAAATTCATTCTCCGTCTCTGTACGTTTACTGATCTCATCCTCCTACTTGTTCTTGAAGTCCTCCACCAGCCCCTGCATATTGCCAAGCTCCACCTCCACTTCAGCTTCTCCTGGCCCAGTCTCCAGCTGCCGCCTAAGGTTGTTGATGTAACTGTCAAACAGGTTGTCCATGTTGCTCCACGCCATCTTCACCTGCTGCGGGAGGCTCTGCTTGGTCTCCAGCATCTTGTTCTGCTGCTCCAGGAACCTTACTTTGTCAATGAAGGAGGCAAACTTGTTGAGGGTCTTGATCTGCTCCTTCTCCTGGGTGCACATGGCCTGGATGTTGGGGTCCACCTCCAGGTTAAGGGGACTGAGCAGGCTCTGGTTGACCGTGATGGTGGTGATGCCTCCCATGCCACTGATCCCACCACAACCTGCATTCGGGCCACCCCAGAAGCTGCTGCTGCCCACTTGGGGAAGGCTCAAGGAGCTGATGCAGGCACCAGGCCCACTCATGTAGAAAGGCCCAGGGACCAGAAGTGGACACTTTGTAGGACTTCTGGGTCACCTTGATAGACATGGTGTGGAGGCAAGAGTGGAGGCAGGTGGGTTGAACCAAATGCAGATTCCAGAAGGACCAGAGAAGCTACTGCTTTCATCCTTTTACTTCTAACCTGTATCATTGTATTTGAAATTCCTTGAGACAGCATATAGTTTGTTTGTTTGTTTGTTTAGTTTATTTATTGAGACAGAGTTTTGCTCTTGTTGCCCAAATTAGAGTGCAATGGTGCGATCTTGGCTCACCACAACCTCTGCCTCCTGGGTTCAAGCAATTCTCTGGCCTCAGCCTCCTGAATAGCTGAGATTACAGTCATGTGCCACCGCACCTTTCTAATTTTGTATTTTTAATAGAGGCGGGGTTTCTCCATTTTGATCAGGCTGGTCTCAAACTCCTGACCTCAGGTGATTCACCCACCTTGGCCTCCCAAAGTGCTGGGATTACAGACATGAGCCACCGCACCCAGCCTAGTTTGATTATTTTTTAATCCACTCTGACAATCTGAATTTCAATTAGTATGTTTGGAACATTTATGTTTATTTGGTTATATATATGTTTTTATTTTAGATCTGCCAGTTTATTTTTCTGTTTGTTCCCTGATTTTCATTCATCTGCTTCCTCTTGCCTTCTCTTAGGTTATTTGAACATTTTTTAGTATTCCACTTTACTATGTTTTTTATTGTATTTGTTTGTGTAGTGTTTTTTAGTGGTTACTCTAGGAATTACAGTTGTCAATCTTTTACCACTTTGGTAGGTCAGTGTCTTGCCCCACTATTTAGGTCTTTTACCCATTCCTTCTACCTTTCTGCCATCTTTATCTTATATATTATACCTTTGACAATTTATGTGGATTAATCATTGACAATTTATGATGTTATAGTTTTTGCTTTCCATCTTCAAAAATATTCTTTAAAAGTTCAAGAGGAGAATATTGTATATGTCCAGATATTTGTCATTTCTGTTGATTTTTCTTTTTCTGATGTTCCAGGTTTCCTGTTGATATCATCTCCTTTCTGTCCAAAGAGCTTCCTTTAACATTTATTTTAGAGTAGATTTGCTGACCATGAACTCTCTGTTTTCTTTATTGAGAATATATGTATTACTTCATTCTTGAAGGATATTTTGATTGTACATAGAAACCTGGGTTGCCAGATGTTCTCATTTAGCCCTTTAACAGTTTTCTTCTTCTTCTCTCTGGCCTTCATGGTTTCTGATGAAAAATCCACAGTAATTGAAATTCTTCTTCCTTTATAAGTAATGTTTTATTTTTCTTTGGCTACATTCAAGATAGTTTGTCCTTAGTTTTCAGCAACTTGGGTAGATTCTGTCTAGGCATGGATTTCTTTAGGTTTATCCAGTTTGGGTTTTGTGGAACTTCTTGAATCTGTAGATGTCTTTCACCAAATTTTGGATATTTTTCAGCCATATTTCTTCAAATTATTTTTCTGCATTATGCTCTTTATGTTCTCCTTGTGAGACTCTGATGACACAAATGTTAAATCTTTTGGTATTGTTCTACAGTCCCTGATGCTCTGTTATGGATTTTTTGTTTGGTTGTTTTCAATCTTTTTTTCTCTTTTGTTTAGATTTGATAATTTCTGTGGATCTGTCTTCAGTTCATGCATTCTTTCATTTCTGTTCTGCTGTCCAAAAGAGGGCCAGGGATCTCAACATTCATTATAAAAACCTTCATTTCATTCCTTAATAATTTTTATTATGCTTGCTCCATCCTCACTTTTACCGTCCAGAATATTTCTGGTCTTCTGGCAGATAGAGGAGATGTATGTAGTTGCCTGAGTCCTTGGAACAGGGGAGCGTATCTGGAGATCTAAGTCCTACTTACACAGACTTTCAGCCAGTGCACTTGTTTTCTTTCCCATTTTACTCCCTCAATTCCTAAAACCTTGTAGTATATATTTCTGAATTTTTAAGGTATATATGGTATAGATTTGGGTTGCTTCTCAATTTTTTCACCACAAGCTCAGGATTCCACCTTCTCAGGACTGCTTAATCAGTTGTCACTTGTCTGCTTTCCTTTTCCCAGAAAGTAGATTGTCCTTTCTCCTCTTCTGTTCTCTTTGACTATAAAGATTATATCTTAAATCTCTATATTATTCTTTTGGTGGCATTTCAGGAGGGAAAGTAATAAATTGTGTATTCAAATTGTCATTCTTACCTGGAGTCAGGAAAAAACTATAAAACCTAAATTTTAAAATGTGCTCATATAGGAACTGTAAATGATAATTTTTCTTTGTCTTCTGTTACATTTTAGGATGAGATCCCCACTGGAATGCCATGCCTGGAGTCAGTGACCATAGGTGATGATATTTGGGATGAGAACTGGTTACCTGTGCAGGCTAAGATGGGAAAAAGAGGTGATGCTGCCTCTCGTCTATTTACTGCAAGCCTTGGTGGAAAGAATCAGTATTCATCATGTAAAGAAATGCCACAGAAGGTTAGATCCTTGGAAAAATAGAAAGCAAATCAGGCCAGGCACTGCCTCTCAAGCCTGTAAATCTAGCACTTTGGGAGGCCAAGGCAGGTGGATCACTTGAGCTTAGGAGTTCATGACCAGCCTGGGCAACATGGTGAGACCCTGTCTCTACTAAAAATAGCCAGGCGTGGTGGTGTGCACCTGTGTTCCCAGCTACTTGGGAGGTTGAGGTGGGACGATCAGTGCTTGAGCCTGGGAACTGGAGGTTGTAATGAGCAAAGATAATCCCACTTCACTCCACCAGCTTGAGTAACAGAGCGAGACCAGTTCTCAAAAAAAAAAAAAAAAAAAAAGAAGCAAGCAATCAATACTGATTTAATTTTCTAGGTCTCAAGAAAGCTATTTGTTCCGGAATTCAAAAGGACTTACCAGGCCATAATTCAAAAGAATACATGATTTAAAAAAAAATGGTAGTGGTATGTAGGGGGACAGAGGATTCATCATGGGACAATAACCATAGGCCTATTTTTGGAGATCCGTCCTTTTAATCATTGTGATTTTTGTTTTATCAGCCCCTAGTCAAGGCCCTTAGGATCTGTAAATAAAGAAACCATTTTCTCTAATTTTGCTGTTGTTGCTTTAGTGTTGTAATACAACCTCTGGATTTCTGGAGTCAGCATATTTGCTAATATTAGGCCTAATATTAGCAAATATGTATTTAAAATATATTTCCCACTGGCTATAAGAAGAAATATCTGAAGTTTTTCTCCTTCATGTTTGTGCTGTTTAAATACTAGATGATCATGAAAAAAAAATCTAGCCATGAAAAAGATATTAAAGAAAAGACTACAAAACAGTTGCGTTTATTTTGGAGATCCATGTGTTCAGAGTTCAAATACTGCGTATGGACCAATAAAGCAAGGAGGAAAGTCACACTGAGAGAGAAAGTTGATAAATACCTTTTTGTTTAATATGCATTGCTTTCTTGCATTGATCTTGCCCAAGTTATCCTCTTTTTGGATCATGTGGCACTTTATCTCAGTCTGTTGTTGCCATTTTTTCATTATAGGATTGGTGCTTTTCTACACCCAAAGATAAATGGGATGATTCTTGGCAGCCTTCAGGCCTTGTAAATGGAACAAAAGTAGTTCATAAATCAGAAGGACTGGGTGCTCAGGAAAAAAATACTGGCACAAACAAGATTCAAAAGGTAAATGTCTAATGCAGGTTATTGGAGAATGTTTGCATAAGGAAGTCCTTTCATTTTTAGAAAGCAAAATTGTCTCAATTTACATATTTTGATATTCCCTGCTCTTAACAGGTTGCTGTAGCTGTTGTTTATGTTAGATTTGAGTTTTTGGGCTTTGTACTAGAGTTATGAGTGGATTTGCACCCCAGAATACTTGTGGTTAATGACCCCTCTCCTAGCAGTTGTAGTATTACATATACATAAAATGTATGTTGATTTTTAAATGAATTTTAACATAATTCCTTATTGCTTCAGAAGAAAATCCTGAGCCTGGAATATTTAAAAATGATTAAACCTCTCTTAGGGAGGTAGAAAATTGGGATTTTTCTGTAACTTAGTCATAATTGTAAGCTCTTTATCTGTCACATAATCTAGATTGATTTCTTTCTCATTTGCTTTGGCAGAAAGCAATAATCCTGGCATAGAATCTGTTTGTTTCATGTTTCTTGAATATATTACAAGCATCCTGAAAACAGCAGGGCTGTTTGTGTGAATCATGAAATGTGGCTGCCAGGCCTCTTTTTTTGGCGTGTTACATTAAAAATAAAGAGTGTAAGTTTAGAAGACTTGTTGAAAACCAGATTTAGGGAAGATGAACCTTCTAAGTGACACATTTCCTTCAGACTGTGGTTACTTTGTATGACAGCAATGATAAAGTCATTCTGTATTTCATAGAATGGTCTCTTCCAGAAATGTAGCTTACTTAATAGCATGAATTTAGTTTTAAGATAAAGTAGCCTTTTGTATTTTGTTTCTCATGTAGTTTTTTTTTTTTAAAAAACAGCTTTATTGAAAGATAATTGATAGACCATTATAATTCACTATTTAAAGTGCACAATTCAGCATTTTTTTGATACACAGCTAGCTGTACAGCTATCACTGCAGTCTGTTTTAGAATATTTTCATCACCCTTTCAAGAAAAAAACACCCATGCCCATTAGCAGTCATACTCCTTTCCCATCCTCTCACAGCCTTAGGCAGCTACTTACTAATCTGCTTTCTGTCTCTACATTGTTTTCTGTTAAATGGCACACAGTATGGGGTTTTTTGTGTGTGTGAGCATCTTCTTTCACCTAGCATTAATAATGTCTTCAGAATTCATCCTTGTTGTAGCATGAACCAGTACTTCATTCCTTTTTATGGCTGAATAATATTCCCCTCTATGATATTACCACATCTTATTTATCCATTCATCAGTTGGTAGGAATTTGGGCTGCTTTCACATTTTGGCTATTATGTTGCTGAGAATGTTCAAGTACAAGGTTTTGTGTGAACACGTTTTAGTTGTTCTTAGATATATAACTTGAGGAATGGAGTTTCTGGGTCATATGGTAATTCTACTTTTAACATTTTGTGGAACTGGCATACTGTTTTCCAAAGTGACTGCACCATTTTATATTCCCCCCGGCAGTGTGTGAGGGTTCCAGTTCTCCATATCTTCACCAACACTTATTGCCTGTCCTTTTGATTATGGCCATGCTAGTGGATATGAACAGTGTCTCATTATGGTTTTTATTTCCGTATCTGATGGCTAATGATGTTGGGTGTCTTTTTGTTTGCTTATTGGTGATGTGTCTTCTCTGACAAGACATTCAGATCCTTTGCCCATTTTAAAAGTAGGTTGTCTCCTCTTATTCAGATCTAATAAGAAAATACAAGTCTCTTACCAGATATATTTTCAAATTTTTCTGCTATTCTGGTTTTTTGTTTGTTTGTTTGTTTGTTTGTTTTATACATAAGAGCCAATACATTTTTTGGTTGCTTGAGCTCTTGGTATCCCCTAATTAGCCATTGCCTGACCCAGGGTTACAAGGATTTACACCTGTGTTTTCACCTAAGCATTTTATAGTTTTAGCTCTTAAATTTAGGTCCTTGAACCATTTTGAGTTAATTTTTTATGGTGTGAGATAGAGTCCAACTTTATTCTTTTGTGTGAGGACATTCAGCTGTATCAGCACTAGTTGTTGAAAGGATGATTCTTTTCCCATAAATAGTCTTGGCTTCCTTGTTGAAAATCAGCTGACTCTATTGTCTGTATGTCTGTTCCTCTACCAGTGTCACATTGTCTTGATTACTCTAGCTAATTAATAAGTTTTGAAATCAGGTAATCTGAGTCCTCAAACTTTCTGTCCTGTAGTTTTATACTATTACTTTATATCCCATGAAGAGAATTTACCAAGGTAAAATCTTTACTGTATCATAATGAACTTCTTAAGGTATTCTTTTTTTTTTTTTTAATTTTTTATTGGATTATAGGTTTTGGGGTACATGAGCAGAGCATGCAAGACAGTTGCGTAGGTACACACATGGCAGTGTGCTTTGCTTTTCTTCTCCCCTTCACCCACATTTGGCATTTCTCCCCAGGCTATCCCTCCCCACCTCCCCCTCCCACTGGCCCTCCCCTTTTCCCCCCAATAGACCCCACTGTTTAGTACTCCCCTTTCTGTGTCCATGTGTTCTCATTTTTCATCACCCACCTATGAGTGAGAATATGCGGTGTTTCATTTTCTGTTCTTGTGTCAGTTTGCTGAGGATGATGTTTTCCAGATTCATCCATGTCCCTACAAACGACACAAACTCATCATTTCTGATTGCTGCATAATATTCCATGGTGTATATGTGCCACATTTTTCCAATCCAGTCTATTATCAATGGGCATTTGGGTTGATTCCAGGTCTTTGCTATTGTAAACAGTGCTGCAATGAACATTCGTGTACATGTGTCCTTATAGTAGAACGATTTATAGTCTTTTGGATATATACCCAGTAATGGGATTGCTGGGTCAAATGGAATTTCTATTTCTAAGGCCTTGAGGAATCGCCACACTGTCTTCCACAATGGTTGAACTAATTTACACTCCCACCAACAGTGTAAAAGTGTTCCTTTTTCTCCACATCCTCTCCAGCATCTGTTGTCTCCAGATTTTTTAATGATCGCCATTCTAACTGGCGTGAGATGGTATCTCAATGTGGTTTTGATTTGCATCTCTCTGATGACCAGTGACGATGAGCATTTTTTCATATGATTGTTGGCCTCATATATGTCTTCTTTCGTAAAGTATCTGTTCATATCCTTTGCCCACTTTTGAATGGGCTTGTTTTTTTCCTGTAAATCTGTTTGAGTTCTTTGTAAATTCTGGATATCAGCCCTTTGTCAGATGGGTAGACTGCAAAAATTTTTTCCCATTCTGTTGGTTGCCGATCCACTCTAGTGACTGTTTCTTTTGCCGTGCAGAAGCTGTGGAGTTTCATTAGGTCCCATTTGTCTATTTTGGGTTTTGTTGCCAATGCTTTTGGTGTTTTGTTCATGAAGTCCTTGCCTACTCCTATGTCCTGGATGGTTTTGCCTAGATTTCCTTCTAGGGTTTTTATGGTGCCAGGTCTTATGTTTAAGTCTTTAATCCATCTGGAGTTAATTTTAGTGTAAGGTGTCAGGAAGGGGTCCAGTTTCTGCTTTCTGCACATGGCTAGCCAGTTTTCCCAACACCATTTGTTAAACATGGAATCCTTTCCCCATTGTTTGTTTTTGTCGGGTTTATCAAAGATTGTATAGTTGTATGTATGTTGTGTTGCCTCCGGTGCCTCTGTTTTGTTCCATTGGTCTATATCTCTGTTTTGGTACCAGTACCATGCTGTTTTGATTACTGTAGCCTTGTAGTATAGTTTGAAATCCGGTAGTGTGATGCCCCCCACTGTGTTCTTTTTGCTTAGAATTGACTTGGCTATGCGGGCTCTCTTTTGGTTCCATATGAAGTTCATGGAGGTTTTTTCCAGTTCTGTGAAGAAAGTCAATGGTAGCTTGATGGGGATAGCGTTGATTCTGTAAATTACTTTGGGCAGTATAGCCATTTTCATGATGTTAATTCTTCCTAACCATGAACATGGAATGTTTCTCCATCTGTTTGTGTCCTCTCTGATTTCGTTGAGCAGTGGTTTGTAGTTCTCCTTGAAGAGGTCCCTTACGTTCCTTGTGAGTTGTATTCCAAGGTATTTTATTCTTTTTGTAGCTATTGCGAATGGCAGTTCGCTCTTGATTTGGCTTTCTTTAAGTCTGTTATTGGTGTAGATGAATGCTTGCGATTTTTGCACATTGATTTTATATCCTGAGACTTTGCTGAAGTTGCTTATCAGTTTCAGGAGTTTTTGGGCTGAGGTGATGGGGTCTTCTAGGTATACTATCATGTCATCTGCAAATAGAGACAATTTGGCTTCCACCTTTCCAATTTGTATACCCTTTATTTCTTTTTCTTGCCTGATTGCTCTGGCTAGAACTTCCAGTACTATATTGAATAGGAGTGGTGAGAGAGGGCATCCTTGTCTAGTGCCAGATTTTAAAGGGAATGCTTCCAGTTTTTGCCCATTCAGTATGATATTGGCTGTTGGTTTGTCATAAATAGCTTTTATTACTTTGAGATACGTTCCATCGATACCGAGTTTATTGAGGGTTTTTAGCATAAAGGGCTGTTGAATTTTGTCAAATGCCTTCTCTGCATCAATTGAGATAATCATGTGGTTTTTGTTTTTGGTTCTGTTTATGTGGTGAATTATGTTTATAGACTTGCGTATGTTGAACCAGCCTTGCATCCCTGGGATGAATCCTACTTGATCATGATGAATAAGTTTTTTGATTTGCTGTTGCAATCGGCTTGCCAATATTTTATTGAAGATTTTTGCATCTATGTTCATCATGGATATTGGCCTGAAGTTTTCTTTTCTCGTTGGGTCTCTGCCGGGTTTTGGTATCAGGATGATGTTGGTCTCATAAAATGATTTGGGAAGGATTCCCTCTTTTTGGATTGTTTGAAATAGTTTTAGAAGGAATGGTACCAGCTCCTCCTTGTGTGTCTGGTAGAATTCGGCTGTGAACCCGTCTGGACCTGGGCTTTTTTTGTGTGGTAGGCTCTTAATTGCTGCCTCAACTTCAGACCTTGTTATTGGTCTATTCATAGTTTCAGCTTCCTCCTGGTTTAGGCTTGGGAGGACACAGGAGTCCAGGAATTTATCCATTTCTTCCAGGTTTACTAGTTTATGCGCATAGAGTTGTTTGTAATATTCTCTGATGATGGTTTGAATTTCTGTGGAATCTGTGGTGATTTCCCCTTTATCATTTTTTATTGCATCTATTTGGTTGTTCTCTCTTTTCTTTTTAATCAATCTGGCTAGTGGTCTGTCTATTTTGTTGATCTTTTCAAAAAACCAGCTCTTGGATTTATTGATTTTTTGAAGGGTTTTTCGTGTCTCAATCTCCTTCAGCTCAGCTCTGATCTTAGTTATTTCTTGTCTTCTGCTGGGTTTTGAGTTTTGTTGATCTTGCTCCTCTAGCTCTTTCAATTTTGACGATAGGGTGTCAATTTTGGATCTCTCCATTCTCCTCATATGGGCACTTATTGCTATATACTTTCCTCTAGAGACTGCTTTAAATGTGTCCCAGAGGTTCTGGCACGTTGTGTCTTCGTTCTCATTGGTTTCGAAGAACTTCTTTATTTCTGCCTTCATTTCGTTGTTTACCCAGTCAACATTCAAGAGCCAGTTGTTCAGTTTCCATGAAGCTGTGCGGTTCTGGGTCGGTTTCTGAATTCTGAGTTCTAACTTGATTGCACTATGGTCTGAGAGGCTGTTTGTTATGATTTCAGTTGTTTTGCATTTGTTGAGCAGTGCTTTACTTCCAATTATGTGGTCAATTTTAGAGTAGGTGTGATGTGGTGCTGAGAAGAATGTGTATTCTGTGGATTTGGGGTGGAGAGTTCTGTAAATGTCTATCAGGTTTGCTTGCTCCAGGTCTGAGTTCAAGCCCTGGATATCCTTGTTGATTTTCTGTCTGGTTGATCTGTCTAGTATTGACAGTGGAGTGTTAAAGTCTCCCACTATTATTGTGTGGGAGTCTAAGTCCTTTTGTAAGTCATTAAGAACTTGCCTTATGTATGTGGGTGCTCCTGCATTGGGTCCATATATGTTTAGGATCGTTAGCTCTTCTTGTTGTATTGATCCTTTTACCATTATGTAATGGCCTTCTTTGTCTCTTTTGATCTTTGTTGCTGTAAAGTCTATTTTATCAGAGATGAGAATTGCAACTCCTGCTTTTTTTTGCTTTCCATTAGCTTGGTAAATCTTCCTCCATCCCTTTATCTTGAGCCTTTGTGTATCCTTGCATGTGAGATGGGTTTCCTGGATACAGCACACTGATGGGTTTTGGATTTTTATCCAATTTGCCAGTCTGTGTCTTTTGATTGGTGCATTTAGTCCATTTACATTTAGGGTTAATATTGTTATGTGTGAATTTGATACTGCCATTTTGATGCTAAGTGGCTGTTTTGCCTGTTAGTTGTTGTAGATTCTTCATTATGTTGAAGCTCTTTAGCATTCAGTGTGATTTTGGAATGGCTGGTACTGGTTGATCCTTTCTATGTGTAGTGCCTCTTTTAGGAGCTCTTGTAAAGCAGGCCTGGTGGTGACAAAATCTCTGAGTACTTGCTTGTTCACAAAGGATTTTATTTTTCCTTCACTTCTGAAGCTCAGTTTGGCTGGATATGAAATTCTGGGTTGAAAGTTCTTTTCTTTAAGAATGTTGAATATTGGCCCCCACTCTCTTCTGGCTTGTAGTGTTTCTGCCGAGAGATCTGCTGTGAGTCTGATGGGCTTCCCTTTGTGGGTGACCCGACCTTTCTCTCTGGCTGCCCTTAGTATTCTCTCCTTTATTTCAACCCTGTTGAATCTGACGATTATGTGCCTTGGGGTTGCTCTTCTTGCGGAATATCTTTGTGGTGTTCTCTGTATTTCCTGCAATTGAGTGTTGGCCTGTCTTGCTAGGTGGGGGAAATTTTCCTGGATGATGTCCTGAAGAGTATTTTCCAGCTTGGATTCATTCTCTTCGTCCCCTTTTGGTACACCTATCAAACGTAGGTTAGGTCTTTTCACATAGTCCCACATTTCTTGGAGACTTTGTTCATTCCTTTTTGCGCTTTTTTCTCTGATCTTGGTTTCTCGCTTTATTTCATTGAGTTGGTCTTCGACTTCAGATATTCTTTCTTCTGCTTGCTCAATTGGGCTGTTGAAACTTGTGTTTGCTTCGCGAAGTTCTCGTATTGTGTTTTTCAGCTCCTTTAATTCATTCATATTCCTCTCTAAGTTATCCATTCTTGTTATCATTTCCTCGAATCTTTTTTCAAATCTTTTTTCAAGGTTCTTAGTTTCTTTGCATTGATTTAATACATGATCTTTTAGCTCACAAAAGTTTCTCATTATCCATCTTCTGAAGTCTAATTCCGTCATTTCGTCACAGTCATTCTCCATCCAGCTTTGTTCCCTTGCTGGTGAGGAGTTTTGGTCCTTTCTAGGAGGCGAGGTGTTCTGGTTTCGGGTGTTTTCCTCCTTTTTGCGCTGGTTTCTTCCCATCTTTGTGGATTTGTCCGCTGGTCGTTTGCGTAGTTGCTGACTTTTCGATTGGGTCTCTGAGTGGACACCCGGAATGTTGATGATGAAGTATTTCTGTTGCTTGGTTTTCCTTCTACCAGTCTAGCCCCTTTGCTGTACGACTGAGGTCCGCTCCAGACCCTGCTTGTCTGGGGTGCGCCTCTAGCAGCTGTGGCACAGCGAGGGATGCTACCAGTTTCTTTTTCTGCTGTCTTTGTCCCAGGATAATGCCTGCCTAATGTCAGTCTTTTGGATATAGAGGGGTCAGAGAGCTGCTTGAGGAGACAGTTTGTACTTTATACGGGCTTAATTGCTGAGCTGTGCGCTCTGTTGTTCCTTCAGGGCTGTTAGGCTGCTATGTTTGATTCTGCTGCAACAGAGCTCATTAAAAAACCCCCTTTTTTTTTTTTCTCAAATGCTCTGTGTTGAGGGGTTTGGGCTTTATTTTTGGATGTTCGATGAGGTGTCCTGCCCAGCTAGAAGGCAGACTAGCCACTGTTTGGCTGCCGAGGCTCCGCCCTGCTGTTGTGTGATTCGCCCTGTTCCTGCAGGCTCTGCTGTGGTCTCCGCCACACCCTGCGGCGGAGTCTCTTCGTTGTAGCGTGTTGCCTCAGCAACGGCAGGCTGCGTCAGCAGTGGGCATGTATCTCAGTAGGGACGGGTTGCCTCGGCAACAGCTGGCTGCATCAGCAGTGGGCGTGTATCTCAGTTGGGGCGGGTTGCCTCGGCAACGGCTGGCTGCGTCAGCAGTGGGCGTGTATCTCAGTTGGGGCGGGTTGCCTCGGTAGTGGTGGACGCACCTCCCCCACAGAGCGTCTCGGACCGTCTGCTCGGGATAGTTTGAAATCGCGGTTTTGTTTGTCCCACTGGGTATCCCAAACGATCTGTCCCTGCAATCCCCTGGGCTGGGCTACTGTCCAAGTCTCGTTCAGTCTCAAGTCCAGCCCTCTCAAGTCTCAGGTTGCCGGTTCAACAGGGCACCCGGACAAGCGCGCCCTGTGGGGATTGCTGGGTAGGGCTGGCCGCCGCCGCCCCGGCTGCTGGCTTCGCCAGGAGACCTACTGCCTGGCGTCCCGTGTCTTTTTATACTTGGGAGTTTCCCCGTTCTGTGGGCAACAAAGATCAGTCTGTAAATGCAGCTCTGATTCACCGTTTGCGGATTCAACGCGAACTCCAATCCTGGGTTGTTCTCACAGCGCCATCTTGAGTCCTCTCTCTTAAGGTATTCTTAAGGTATATTTCTTCAGAAACTTTTAATTTTCCACCCCTTTTTCTACTCCTATTGTAAGGTGCCATGTATTTACCATGCAGGTTGAATACCCTTTATCCAAAAGACGGGACTGGAAGTTGCTTAGGATACAGTCTGCTCCTGCTGTCTGTATCTTCAACCTCTTTCTACTGGCACATTCTTATAAGCATTTAAAAATGTTTATGTACCTTCCATCTAAACAAAATTTAAACATTAAAAAATTTTTTGATCCCACAGTCCTTTCTAGCTACCACACTTGTTTTTCATCCCCTAGGTAGACAAACATGTTTTGCCTTTGAAAATTATAAAAGTACCACATTTGCAGGATTTTAAAATTCAAGTAGTTCCACAAGTTACAGAAATAAGATAACCTTGCCTTTTTTTTTTTTTGCGACGGAGTTTCGCTCTTGTTACCCAGGCTGGAGTGCAATGGTGTGATCTTGGCTCACCACAACCTCCGCCTCCTGGGTTCAGGTAATTCTCCTGCCTCAGCCTCCTGAGTAGCTGGGATTACAGGCACGTGGCACCATGCCCAGCTAATTTTTTGTATTTTTAGTAGAGACAGGGTTTCACCATGTTGACCAGGATGTCCTTTCCTCTTTTAATCCAACTCCACCATAAGCAGTTTCTTGTGTATCCTTCCTAGAAACTAAACACATGCATGAGAACATAATACACATACCATTCAGCACCTTCCCATATCCGTACTTACAAACCTACCTCAGTGTTTTAACTCCTGCAGAGTATGGATATGCCCTAACTGATTTAAATAGTTCTGATGAATATCTGTTTCTAAGATTTTGTGACTGTAAACAATACTGCAGTGATTATCCTTCAAGTTACCATTTATTCTTATGTTGCTAAATTAGGTGGACATGTTTTAACCTTACAGTACCTGATTGCTCAGCATTATTTGAAATTAACCTTGCATTCCTTCTTGAAACATGATCTTCCTTTGGCTTTTGTGATGCCATGATCTTTTTTCCTCCTGCCTCCTGACATAATATCTAGGCTTGCTCCCTGTGGTGTCTCCCAGAGTTCTGCCCTATGCTGTTTTCTTACTCCTTGCTATGTTTTCATTTATCTTAATATGTAACTAGATAAACATGGTAACCCTCTGTTTAACATTTTGAGGAACTACCAGGCTTTTTTCCAGAGCAGCGGTGCTATTTTACATTCCTCCCAGCAATTTAAGAGTACTGCAGTTTGTCCATGTCAGCACTTGGTGTTCTTGCTAATAATTGTAACTATCTTTTTTATTATAGCCATTGTAGTAGATGTGAAGCGATTTGGGGACTTTGTCCATATTTCATAAATTATGAACGTGTTTTTGAGACTAACCTGTAGTTCCATCATGGTATATTTCCAAACAATTGTGAGGGAGTCAGTCATTTGCAACCACAGAAGAATAAATCTGGTAGAGCAGTGCTTCTCAAACTATAATGTGCATACAGGTCACCTGGGAATCTTGTTAAAATGCAGATTCTTACCCAGCATATCTGGGGTAGGAACTAAAGCTCTTGATGTCTAGCAAGCTTCCAAGTAATGCTGATGCTGCTGATGAGTGAATACCACTTTTGAATAGCAAGGCTGTATATTACTGTTAGAAGGGAAGGACTTTTTTTAAAATTAATGGTTTAAATTGACTACACATACTTACTTTCAAATGTCAGACAAATTTAGAGTGAAATTCTGAGTAAAAGCTATCAGGATGCATCTTAAATACGTGTCAACAGTGCATCTTTCTTAAATGACATTTGTCAAGAAAGAAGATACAGCTTTTTAAAAATGTTTCTGTATGTTATCTATTAAACAGCTAAACATAGGCAGTAAGGTATAATGTAAAAAGCACTGGCTTGGGAGTGCTATAATCAAGGGCCTAGTTTTGACTACTGACTAGCAAGTTGAAACAAATTACCTTTTGTGCCCTGAGTTTGCTCACTTGCAAGACTGATTTGAACTAGTAATCTCCCAGCTTAAAAAATTTATGAGATTAATAAATATTGATTTACCTAATTATTATTGCTGCTTTATTGAAAGAATTCACTGGTTCTTAGCCTCATTTTAAATGAAGATAAAGGGTAGCTCATGTATACATGTGAATTGTTTAAACTATGCAAAAACTTGAGTCTAGGTCTTTGGTTTCCTGAAATAACATATTGTATGGCCCAGTATAGCTATCTGGAGTTTTAGAATTTTTTTTCAACCAAAAAAGGTTATTCACACAGGTATTTGTATATTATATAATTATATAAGCCACATTCATGCCAGCCATCTTTGAAAGTGAGCTGCTATAGATTTTTGCCCCAGAAGTAACATTTGCTGATATTAAATGTGTGTTGCATATGAGCCAGAAAAACAAGCCTACATCTGTTTGTACAATTATTGTTTCGGATTGTTCTAGGCAGATCCCAGACTCTAAACCACTTAGTTCAGTTTGTCATAGCTTAATCTGTTGGGGTCCTCTTTACTCGTGTCAGTGCCAGTTGACATCACCAAAGATCAGTGCTATTAAATGACCATAGAGTACACTTAATTCAGCAATGAGTATATGGTAGGAAATGGGGTCTAATTCATAATGGTTAAAATTTGGCACTCCATTCACTTAAGGTCATTTTGAGTTTGGAAGTTCATCTTTTTCTCCCAAACTCTGGCTTTTTTGGCCCTTCCGAGGAGCACGCAGCTCCTGCCTCCTTCATGGCTAGCTGCACACACAGTTTCCCTGATGGAGGACTCAGAGGCCCTTAGGGTCAGGGATCCTGTCTGACTGGGAGGTGGTGTGGTAGAGCACAGAGAGCATAGACTGGCCTGAGTTCAAATCTACACCCTGCCATTTACTGATGGACACTGGATAACTTAACGACTCTGTAAAAGCATTGTGTTACGTGAAGAAGACATAGCAGCACCTACCTAGGACACTTGTTCTGATGTTCAAATGAGGAAACACATGCAGATAACCTAGCACTATGCCTGACACAGAGTGCTCAGTGAACATCACTTCTCTCTCGCTCTGCCCCTCTTTCCCAACCTTTGTATGGTAGCACTGTATTGCCATGTTTGCTTATGGGATGTGTTCCGTAAATGTTTTCTTGAATTTATGTTCATTAAGATAGAGAAGGACTTGCTTTTTCTAGAGAGTATATAGGTTCTTGAAAGTGGGTAGTTTCATTTTATGATATGGAAATACTTGTATTTTGCTTTTAAGTAAGGAAATGGGCTTGATTCTTCTTATACTAACATTTGTTTTTCATACTTTTGCCCCTTTTTTTCCATTCTGCAGCAACTAGACTTAAATGGCTCTTCAGATTCTTCCACACTGCCCAAATTGGAAGAATGCTATACCTCTCTTACCCAGTCAGAGCAGTCAGCATACAGGAGCCAGTCTGAACTCAGCAACAGTCAGACTCAGCCAAAGCAAACTCAGCCTTCCACAGCAGTATCCAGTTCAACTCCTGGAGTGGATGTTTCTGCAGAACAGCCGTCTGGTTTTGGTAGGTTTGTGTGTACTTGTGCATGTTCTCAGTTGACAAACATGATGGTTTGTCATGTTCTAAAAACCTTCATTTGTCTCTTTCAAAATACACCTTGGAAGATTACTGACCTTAGCATTTGTGTTTGGTCCTTGTTTTATGTTTGGGCTCAATTGTTCCTTGAACTTTGCTACTCTTCTTTTTTTCTGCACTTTTTTTTTGGAGGTGGGGGTCCCACTTATATATAGTAAAACTTGCTGGTTTTCAAGTATATAGTTCTTTGAGTTTTGACAAATGTATAGTCTTGTAATCACAGCCACAATCGTGATAACATTTCCATCAGCCTGAAAGTTTCCTTGTGCCCCTTTGCAGTCAGTCCCATTGCCTCCTTGCTGGCCTCTGGCATGTTACTTTCCCTTTTCTAGAATTTCATATAAATGGAATTGTATGTAGTTTTTATGTCTGGCTTCTTTCACTTACCATAATATTTTAGAGTTTCATTTATGTTGTGCTAGTATAAAAAATTTGTTCCTATTTGCTGAATAGTATTCAATTACATGGATATACCACAGGTTACCTGTTTACCAATTAATGGTCAAATTCTGGAAACAATATAGGTGTCCATTATCAATAAAACTGCTATGAACATTTACACACAACTCTTTTTGTAGATGTATGTTTTTATTTCTGTTGAATATATATATATATAGGAGACTGGGTGCAGTGGCTCACGCCTGTAATCCCAGCACTTTGGGAGGCCGAGGCAGGTGGATCATGAGGTCAAGAGATTAAGACCAACTTGGCCAAGAGGGTGAAACCCCGCCTCTACTAAAAATACAAAAATTAGCTGGGCCTGGTGGCAGGAGCCTGTAGTCCCAGCTATTTGGGAGGCTGAGGCAGGAGAATCACTTGAACCTGGGCAGCAGATGGTGCAGTGAGCTGAGATCATGCCTCTGCACTCCAGCCTGGGCAACAGAGTGAGACTCTGTCTAAAAAAAAAAAAAAAAAATTACACACACACACACACACACACACACACGAGTGGATTTGCTAGATCGTATGGTAACTGCATGTTTAACTTTTTTAAAAACTGCCTAAATGTTTTCTAAAGTGACTGCATCAGTTTGCAATCCCACCACTAAGGAATAAAAGTTCCAAGCACTCCACAGCCTTGCCAACAGAAGGTATTGTCAATCTTTAATTTTGCCAGTTTATTGATATGTAGTGGTATATTATTGTAGTTTCAATTTGCATTTTCCTGTTTATCACAATGTTCACCGTATTTTTTATGTGTTTGCCTGTTCAAGCACTTACTCACTTTTTAAAATTGGATTATCTTCTTATCTACTTGTAGATGTTATTTATTCTCTACACACATTCTTTGTCAGGTATAAATATTTCCTTCAGTCTGTGGTTTTCCTTTTAGTGTCTTTGGAAGAGCAAAAGTTTTCAAGTCCAGTTTAGTGATTTTTTTCTCTTTACAATTTGAGCCATGTGTATCTTGTTTAGACATCTTTAACTCAATTAAGATTTTCTCCTACATTTTCTTATAAAATTCTTATAGTTTTAAGTCTAAGATCCAATTCAAGTTAATATTTGTATAGGGCATGATTGAGGATCAATGTTTATTTTGTTTGCATCTCAATATCCAGTTGTCCCAGCACCATTTGTTGAAAAGACTGTCTCCAGTAAATTGCTTTGACATGTTTGCCAAAAGTCAATAGGCTGTATTTGTTTCAAAAATTTCCATTTTGTCCTCTTGGTCTATATGTCTGTCTTTATACTACTGTCTTAATTACCATAGCTTTATAATAAGTCTTGAAATCACATAATGGTAGTCTTCCAACTTTCTTTCTTTTTCTCAGGTTGTTTTGCTATATACGTCCTTTGATTTTCACATAAAGTTTAGAATTAGCTTGTCAATGTCTACATAAAGTCTGTTAAGATTTTGATCTGATTTTTAAATTTAAGTTTATAGATCAATTTGAGGAGAATTCTCATCTTAACAATATTAAGTCTGTACACATACTATATTTTTTGTTTTGCAACAAAGAATTGGAACATAAGTTCAGTTATACTGTACTTATGTACATATAATTTTCATTAACTATTTTGTAAAAACCCTTAGAATAAATTACATGATTTAAAAATTTTTAATAATTTACTTCAGTAGGTTTTTGGGGAACAGGTGGTGCTTGGTTACTTGAATAAGTTCTTTAGTGGTGATTTCTGAGATTCTGGTGTGTCCATCACCTGAGCAGTGTACACTGTACCCAATGTGTAGTCTTTTAGCCCTCACTTCCCACCCTTTCCCCCAACTCCCCAAAGTCTAATGGATCATTTTTAATACCTTTGCATCCACATAGCTTAGCTCCCACATGTGACTGAGAACATATGATGTTTGGTTTTCCATTCCTGAATTACTTCACTTAGAATAATAGTCTCCAGTTCCATCCAGGTTGCTGTGTATGCCATTATTTTGTTCCTTTTATGGCTGAGTAGTATTCCATGGGGTGTGTGGAACCCCCGCCACATTTTCTTTATCCACTCATTGATTGATGGGCATCTGAGCTGGTTCCATGTTTTTACAATTACTAATTGTGCTGCCATAAACACATGTATGCAAGTATGCAACACATGTATGGCATAAACACATAATGACTTCTTTTCCTCTAGGTAGATACCTATTAATGGAATTGCTGGATCAAATGGTAAATCTTCCTTCTTTAAGGACTCTCCACACTGTTTTCCATAGTGATTATAATAGTTTACATTCTCACCAGTAGCATAAACATGTTCCCTTTCTACCACATCCACACCATCATCTATTATTTTTTTGATTATGGACATTCTTGCAGAAGTGAGGTGGTATTACATTGTGGTTTTAATTTCCATTTCCCTGATAATTAATAATATTGAGCATTTTTCCATATACTTTTTGACCATTTTTATATCTTTTTTTTTTTTTTTTTTTTGAGATGGAGTCTGTCATCCATGCTGGAGTGCAGTGGCTTGATCTCAGCTCACTGCCTTCTAAGTTCAAGCAATTCTCCTGCCTCAGCCTCCTGAGTAGCTGGGATTACAGGTGCACACCATGATGCCTGGCTAATTTTTATATTTTCAGTAGAGACAGGGTTTCACCATGTTGGTCAGGCTGGTCTCGAACTTTTGACCTCTGTGGGTTGTCTTGTTAACTCTGCTAATTGTTTCTTTTGCTGTACAGAAGGCTAGGTAGTTATTTTCTTTTTTGGTGGTTGCTTTAGGGTTTGTAGTATATATCTTTAAATTGTCTCCTCCAAATGAAACTATTATCACTTCACATAGAACATTAAAAGTTTTCCTTTTTTCCCAGGCCTGCCTTTTAGCTATTGTTGTTATATATTTTACTTTTTTAATATGTTGTAAACCCTACAATCTAATTCTTGTATTGGATATCAAAAATAATCCAATTCTTGTTATTTTTGCATTCTAGTCAATTATCTTTTAAAGAACTTAATGAGAAGTCTTCTGTGTTTACTTACATATTTTCCATTTCAGTGTTCTTCATTCCAATGTATAAATTGGGATTCAGCAAACTTTTTCTGTAAAGAGCCAAAAAAAATAATCTTTTCAGCTTTGTAGGCCATATGATCTATGGCAGTTATTCAACTCTGCTGTTACAGCATGAAAACAGCCATAGATAATAGGTAAATAAATAAGAATAGCTGTGTTCTAATTAAAATTTATTCATAAAATTAGGTGGATTTGGTCCACAGTGGCCAAAAAAAAATTTAATTTTTTTTCTGTCACCCTTCCCCGTTTTTTAACTGCAGTTGCATGTGTGGTAGGCCATTTCTTACTCTCAGTCTTTGCTGTGTCTCATTTTAGTGCATTTCTACTACTATGTCTCCAAGTTACCAATCGTCTTGTTCAGTTTCTAATTCAGTGTGTCCGGCCTTCCTTCCTTCCTGCCTGCCTGCCTTCTGTCCATCCATCTGTTCATCCATCCCACTCTTTCGCCCAGGCTGGAGTGCAGTGCCACAATCTTGGCTCACTGCACCCTCCGCCTCCCAGGTTCACACGATTCTCCCACCTTGGCCTCCTGAGTACCTGAGATTACAGGCATGTGCCACGATATCCCTCTAATTTTTAAAATTTTTGGTAGAGACGGGGTTTCACCATGTTGGCCAGGCTGGTCTCAAACTCTTGACCTCAGGTGATCCTCCTGCCTCTGCTTCCCAATGTGCTGGGATTACAGGCATGAGCCATAGCAACTGGCTCAGTGTGTTTTTCTTCTCTAGAGGTTTGATTTTGGTCTTATTTACATCTTCCATTTTTCTCCACATTATAGTCATGTTTTCCTTTCTGTCTTCTTGAATAAATAGTGTGCTTTTTAAACAACTGTTTTAATACCCTTGTTGTGTGATTCTATCATATATATAACTTTTGAATTCTATCATCTGTGTCATTTCTGAATCTTTATATTGATTTTTTTCCTCCTGATTACAGGTCATATACATTCTTTGTATCTGTTAATTTTTTATTGAATGCCAGACACGCTGAATTTTACATTATTGGCTTAATTTTTATTTTTTTAATTATACTTAAGTTCTGGGATACATGTACAGAACATGCAGATTTGTTACATAGGTATACACATGCTGTGGTGGTTTGCTGCATCCATCAAGCTGTCATCTACATTAGGTATTTCTCCTAATGCTATCCCTCCTCTAGCCACCTACTTCCCTATCCCTCTCCTTCCTCCCCACCCCCCGACAGGTCCCAGTGTGTGATGCTCCCCTCCCTGTGCTCGTAGGTTCTCAGTGTTCATCTCCCCTTATGAGTGAGAACATGCAGTGTTTGGTTTTCTGTTCCTTTTTAGTTTGCTGAGAATAATGGTTTCCAGCTTCATCCATGTCCCTGCAAAGGACATGAACTCATTCTTTTTTATGGCTGCATAATATTCTATGGTGTATATGTGTGTTGGGTTAATTTCTTCCCTTTCTCCTTTTCTTCCTGTCTTTTTTGGGGTGGGGAGATGCAGCTAAATTCCCCTCCCCCCAGTTTTTTTTTTCTTTCAGTGTTTCTTTTGAATTTATTAGTCTGGTCTGGAAAAGTTTGTGGTCTAGGTCTGGTTTGGCCCTGCTATTTAGGCAATACCTAATGCCCTCTGAGATTATTGATGGACTTGATGTTGCATGTGTTAGGATGTCTTCCACTGTGGCTGGCGAGAACACAAAGCATTGTGCCCTAATGTAAGATCTAATGATTATTCTGCCTGCTCCTTTCTGGTAGTTTTCCCTGGCTGTGGTAGTTTGCTCACACACACAGGAGTCAGATGACTATTCAGTCCAAGACTCAAGGAGACCTCTAAGCAGATCCTCAGTTTCTTCTCTCTCTGCAGCTGCCTCCTCTCTGGCACTTTATTTCCGTAAATTCTAGACACCTGGCCTTTCTGGATTCTGAACTCTGTTTTCTTAACTCAGACTACTTTGTTCAATCTGGATTCCTCCTCCTCCATAATACAGCCTGAAAAGTTTTTAAGGCAGTGAGCTAAAGCATTAATAGTTTGCCTTCTCTCAGGGGTCACTGTTCTAAGATGCTTGTCCAATGTCTGAAAGCTTTTGTTTCATACATTTTGTCCAGTTTTCTAGTTGTGTAAGGCAAGAGAGTAGATATTCTTGTTGGATAGCACCACGACTGAAAGCAGAAATTTTGCTACTCTTAAATTCTTTGGTCATGTGTTCCTGCTTTTCGTACCTTTTAATATCCTAGCTCACCTAAGACTTCCTGTAAAATCACATTATTTAGTTAAAAATAATCATTCCTTTTCCTCTCTAGTAGACACTATAGTTTTACAAAATTTCCCTTTTTGGAATACATTGTCAAATCTTTCTCCAACATAATTCATTACAAAAGTATAGAACATATACCACATGTTACTCTGCTAGATGCTAAAGATGCAAAGATGAATAAAATAATGGATTATGCCCCTTTGTTTGAATTTTTGAAATCTGTGTTTTTTAAGATCTAGAACAGTGCTATTCAAACTGTAGTCTACATACTGGTGCCAATTTGAAGGGTTTGCAGGGGTGGACCATGCCGTAAGGAGTTTGTTCCAGAGTAGTCACTCAGCTACATTGCTGAACACATTGCGTAGCTCACCTGAATTTTTTTTTTAAGTAGGACTTTCTTGAAGGAAGCAATGTCTTGGTTTAGATGCCAGAAAAAGTGGCTTCTTTCACTGTAGGCAAGTAATAAGTGGTTTATAGACCAGCTACTAGTACACATCTCAGAGTGCTTAGCATCTCCTCCCTTGGCTATTAAGAAATCTTCAGCATCACAGTTCCAGCCATTAATTTCATTTAAAGGGTTATTATTTCTTCTTAATTAAAACTAATTATTTAGACATTCATTTTATGGCTGGTAACTGGTTTGGGGATTAGCAACCATGATCTAGGATGGTTTTATTTTTATACAGGTGCAGACTTGGAATTGGAACAACTTTGGCAATAGAGAGAATGCCTGTGAGGTACCACTTAGCTTAGTGCTGGAAGGAAGAAGAAGCACTTATGGGCTCTTCTCTGGGATTTCTGTTATATCCAGTTTATTTTTATGCCCTTCCTAGACATAAATCATCCCATCCTTGTTCATATTTTCCCTCTCTCACTTATCCTGACAAGATTTATTTTATCCCCATTTCCTTTCCATTTGTTGACTGCTTTCTGAGTCTCATCTTCTCTGATTAGCCATTGGTAATTGTCACGACCTAACAGAATGTGATTGTAACACATACTTGTATTGAACTAGTATGGGGGAGAGAAGGCAGTGAGTGTGAGAACCCCTTGAAAAGACATTCGTGTACTCTTTCTTTTCCAGTGGAAAGTTCTCCAGAGATCCTAAAGAATGAAGACTGTTCTAGCAGCCGTGCTATTACAGTGTACAAAGACAAGAGTCAAGAATCCATGGATCAGCTGTCATTGATTTTGTCTTATGAGTGCCAGATTTCCCAGAAGCTCTACATTCCTCGAAGTACAGCCACTGCTGCCTTAGGTGCTGCCGCACGGTTAGCTACATCCAGAAGCCTCCTACAGTGGTACCCCAGTGTGAAAAGGATGGAAGCATGAGGGAGGGAGGGAGAAAAACAGAATCCAGCCACTTAGGGCTTGAATAACTCCCAGGCCAAAATGAGGAGGTACTGAAGCAAACTAGTATCTTGATCGTTGATACTGTTGTCTTTCTGTGACTATATGTTAGCTTAATTATGCTAACAACCTACTTTGATGTAAGTATTGATATTTACTGTTACTCTTGATTTTCCTGATGATTTTGTGTCGTTTTGTTCATCTTTGTTTTTAATGTAGTTTAAAGGAATTTGTATCTTGTGTTTTTCTGTTTTTCTTGTACATATCATGACTGATAAATGAAAATTGAAAAACTAATGTTTGTGATATTTGGCAAGACAAAATAGTCTCATACTCCTATCTCCAGAAAAAAAGGATGTCTGACTCTTAGGGCTGCTTTCTATCTAAATTTCAGGTCTTCTGTATCATGGAGCATCATTATGTCTTTGAAATATTGGGATCAGTAAGAAAATCTACACCCTGAAGCTTTGGTCATATGAATACTTTTACATTAAAAAAAAATTAAGCCGTTTGTTTGCAGTAAAGGCAATTTCTGAAATGTAGCTGAGCCATCTCGATAATTATCACAGTTCCCAGGAGCCTAATCGTAACAATCGTTGAGCAGTGGCATTGTTTGAGCATTTATATAACATGTTCGCTGAGGTCAAATTGTGTGAAATGTGTTATGGCAGTCTGTTGAGCTCATAGTATAGATCATCAAAAAAGACCAAAGGTGACATTTTAAAATGTGAGTAGTGCTGGTTAATTTTTTCTTTTTTGCCAGACTTACATCTAGATTTAAAAAGTATTTTACTCACAGAATTAACTCCCCAAACAGAATCATTTCTGAGAAATATGTAAATAGTGAGCATGCTTCATGTAACAAAGTTCTCACCCTTACAGCTGCTCTTCTAAGGCCTCCTTATTTGGCATTAAATGACAGAGCTGGTCTCCTGGTTCTTCTCTTTTTCTATAATAAGGATTTTCTCCTTTTTCCTTCTCAACTATTTAGTTAGCAAAATATCTACTACGGAAGGAAGTAGGATGGGAGTAAATATGGAAATACATTCAGAGTATTATTTTAAAAAAAAGTTAAACCAAAAGTCTTTAAATACTAATCATTTTCTGTTTAAAAGCCTTAGAGAAAACATGTTTAAATGTAATAGAATTTAAAAGCTCGGATTCGTCTTTAGTTCCAGTATATCTATAAGGATAATATAAGGATTAAACTATTTGACAAAAAAAGACGAAGTAATCTGGAAACATGACTGATAGTTAATCCAACTGATGAAACAGGTTTGGGCCTTTGTGAATTTGTATCAGATATCTTTTTACTGGAGAAGACAGCTGGAGAGTTATGAGGAGGGTGAGTGGACAGTTAAATATCCTGTGATGCTCAATTGATAATGAACTGGTGGAGCTGTTTTTCATATAACTTTTGATACTCATACAAAATGTGTTTCAAAAGAAGAAAATTCATTGTGAAGTGATGGCTCTTCTGATTCTTTCTTTAAAGAAGCCAAATCTGATATTATAGTTTACTTTTCCAGGTGAACACTTAACTGGGTTTGGGGCAAGATGAATCTGGTATGTCTTAAGGGTTAACGGATATACATTTAGTAAGCTAAACCATAACCCTCTCTATAATAGCACCCAGCTACCAGGAGGCAGTCTGCCAAAGCTGGGTAGCCTTTTTGCAAGTTTCATAGTTGGTTTCATAATCTGACAGGGACTCATTTTACACCTTGCAAACTGGATGGGGATTATAAAATAACTGCTAAGGCTGTTTCAGAATCTCATTTGCCTGTGGCTGGATAGAGAATCATTTAGACAAAACTATCTCAAACTTCTTTCAAATGAGTGTCAACACACTTTCAAAGAAGCCTGTTTAGTAATTAATAATACCTTATTTATTTCAGTTGGTGTGAAGAATGAACCTTTGAGAGGCTTGTACATGTTGACTCCTTGGCTTTGAGTAGGATAGTCACCCTGTCAGTCATCTGTTTACTTATATCTTCTCCCAAAAAGGTGGCCTTTGGTAATTAAAGTTATCAGCAAAGTATCAAACAAAGTAGATGCATCATTTGAAAATGAGTAAATAGATTTCTGTATATGAGCAGGAACAGTGTTGAAAAGGTATGTAGATGCTATTGTCAAAAGATGAGCTGACATCTATACTTTGAACAGTTCCCTACCCCACCCCCAGCATTTTTGGTATTCAGGAGCTGTTTGCAGTAATGGAGGTCCCCAAGGAATGTTGAATGGGAAGTGGGAGCCTGAGGTAGGTGAAAGGAAATGAGTGAGAACATAAAGGAAAATCCTGGTGCTAAACTCTTTAGGGATGGAAGGGACTAAGGAGTCTGGCTTGCCTCTGACTGGCTTGACTAAAAGCGACTCTGGTTTCAACTCCAGTGGCTTGTAGCCAATAATACCCATTCTCCCATCCAAAAATACCCCAAAAGGCTGGGCACAGTGGCTTATGCTTATAATCCTAGCACTTAGGGAGGCTGAGTTGGGTGGATCACTTAAGGCCAGGAGTTTGAGATCAGCCTGGCAAACATGGTGAAACCCCATCTCTACTGAAAATACAAAAATTAGCCCTGTGTGGTGGCATGCACCTGTAGTCCCAGCTACTCAGGAGCAGAGGTTGCAGTGAGCTGAGATTGCACCACTGCACTCCAACCTTAAAACCCATGAGATAGCAAAAGAGGAGCCATTCCAGGCAGCAGGCAGCCTTTCACCTCCAAACTTGACATGTTTGAGATGTCAGTTACCCGTTTTAAGGCATGGGGAGTACTAGAGGCTTCTGCCCACTATCAGTCAGCTTGTGTCTAACCTAGAGATGTAGAATTACAGAATTTTGATCTAGAAGGGAACTTACATGAGCAAATTTGATGTCGAGAAAGATTAACTTGACAGCAGCCAGCGGTGGCTGGCAAGATGGATGAATAGGAACAGCTCCCAGTGAGATCAACACAGAAGGTGGGTGGTTTCTGCATTTCTGACTGAGTCAAGACCCACCCGTGTGCTGTATTCAGGAGACCCATCTCATGCACAAAGGCACACATAGGCTCAAAGTAAAGGGATGGAGGAATATTTATACCAAACAAATAGAAAAAAAAAAAAGCAGGGGTTTCAGTCCTAGTCCCTGATAAAACAGACATAAACCAACAAAAATCAAAAAAGACAAAGAAGGGCATCACATAATGGTAAAGGGATCAATGCAACAAGAAGAGCTAACTATCCTAAATATATATGCACGCAGTACAGGAGCACCTAGATACATAAAGCAAGTTCTTCATGACCTACAAAGAGACTTAGGCTCCCACACAATAATAGCAGGAGACTTTAACACCCCACTGTCAATATTAGATCAATGAGACAGAAAATTAACAAGGCTATTCAGGACTTGAACTCAGCTCCGGAACAAGCAGACCTAATAGCCATCTACAGAACTCTCCACCCCAAATCAACAGAATATACATTCTTCTCAGCACATCACATGTGTTCTAAAATTGGCCACATAATTTGAAGTAAAACAGTCCTTAGCTAATAGCAAAAGAACAAAAATTATAACAGTCTCTCATGCAGTGCAATCAAATTAGAACTCAGGATTAAGAAACTCACTGAAAACTGCACAACTACATGAAAACTGAACAACCTGCTCCTGAATGACTCCTGGTAAATAACGAAATAAAGGCAGAAACAAGTTCTTTGAAAACAATGAGAACAAAGACAATGTACCAGCATTTCTGGGACACAGCTAAAGCAGTTTGTAGAGGGAAATCTATAGCACTAAATACCCACAGGAGAAAGCAGGAAAGATCTGAAATTGACACCCTAATATCACAATTAAAAGGATGAGAGAAGCAAGAGCAAACACATTCAAAAGCTAGCAGAAGACAGATAACTAAGATCAGAGCAGAACTGAAGGAGTTAGAGACATGAAAAACCCTTCAAAATAATCCATGAATCCAGGAGCTGGTTTTTTGAAAAAATCAACAAAATAGATATACTGCTAGTCAGTCTAATAAGGAAAGAGAGAAGAATCAACTAGACACAATAAGAAATGATAAAGGGGAGATCATCACTGATCCCACAGAAATACAAACTACCATCAGAGAATATGGTATAAACATATAAAACACTTAAACATATAAAACACTTCTATGCCACGCGTCTACAACCATCTGATCTTTGACAACTCTGATAAAAACAAGCAAGGGGAAAAGGATTTAATAAATGGTATTGGGAAAACTGGCTAGTCATATGCAAAAAACTGAAACTGGACCCCTTCCTTACACAAAAATTCACTCAAGATGGATTAAAGACTTAAATATTTAAGACCTAAAATATAAAAATCCTAGAAAACCTAGGCAGTATCATTCAGGACACAGGTATGGGCAAAGACTTCATGAGTAAAACACAATGGCAACAAAAGCCAAAATTGAAAATGGGATCTAATTAAAGAGCTTCTGCACAGCAAAAGAAACCATCATCAGAGTAAACAGGCAACCTACAGAATGGGAGAACATTTTGCAATCCATCTGACAAAGGGCTAATATCCAGAACCTACAGGAACTTAAATTATAAGAAAACCCCATCCAAAAGTGTGTGAAGGATATGAACAGACACTTTTCAAAAGACATTTATGCAGCCAACAAACATATGAAAAATGCTCATCATCAGTGGTATTAGAGAAATCAAATCAAAACCACAATGAGATACCATCTCGCGCCAGTTAGAATGTCTATCATTAAAGAGTCAGGAAACAACAGATGCTGTAGAGGATGTGGAGAAATAGGAACACTTTTACACTGTTGGTGGGAGTGTAAATTAGGTCAACCATTGTGGAAGACAGTGTGGTGATTCCTCAAGGATCTAGAAATGGAAATACCATTTGACCCACCAATCCCATTACTGGGTATATACCCAAAGGATTATAAATCAACCTATAAAGACACATGCACACGTATATTTATTGCAGCCCTATTCACAATAGCAAAGACTTGGAACCAACCCAAATGCCCATTAGTGATAGACTGGATAAAGAAAATATGGCGCATATACACCATAGAATACTCTGTAGTCATAAAGCAGGATGAGTTTATGTCCTTTGCAGGGACATGGATGAAGCTGGAAACCATCATTCTCAGCAAACTGACACAAGAGCAGAAAATCAAACACCACATGTTCTCACTCATAAGTGGGTGTTGAACAATGAGAACGCATGGACACAGGGAGGGGAGCATCACACACTGGGGCCTCTTGGGGACTGGGGGGGCTAGGGAAGGGATAACGTTAGGAGAAATAACTAATGTAGATGACAGGTTGATGGGTGCAGCAAACCACCATGGCATGTGTACCTATGTAACCTGCATATTCTGCACATGTATCCCAGAACTTAAAGTATAATTTTTTTAAAAACCAAAAAAAAAAAAAAAAAAACAATCCACTTGCCTGTGGTCATACAGTTTGACTTATCATAGCTGCAGATTCCTACCTCAGTGCCCTTTCCACAGGAAATACTGCAACTCATTTTTTGTACTTTAAATGATTTCATGCCAGAAGACACAGCTTTGGTAGAACAGTCCATAAAAAAGGTGGTTCTTATAGCTGAACAAACCCTTGGTGGTGTTGGGGCAAGGGACAGATTGGTAGGCTTGATCATATCTTATATGTGGATACTTTTTAACAGTGGACCAGTTCTAGAGCTGAAGAATCTGAAAAAGGGATAGCATAAGGAATGAGAAACCTACTTCTCACAGAGAAATCTTCCTGAACCTTTCCGTTAACATTTATGCTAACAGGCATTTCTAAGAGTTTTGATACATTTTCATTGTCTCATATACAGTCCAATGGACAGCATTCACTATATACCTTACTCTCAATTCAGCAGGACCTATCACTAAGACACTGACTATATTTCACTTTCTGAAGCCCATTCAAAGCTTGACCTTTTCCAAGATTCCAGCTAAGGAGCATAGCTGTGTGAATGAAATCTGTGTGCTTTGAATTTAGACCCCTTCCTAACAAGTGGTGTTTGTTTCATTTGGACAGTTGTAGGTCCCACTGGCCTTCTGAAACTAGAATCCTTTAGACACAGTTGTTTTAACTGTGGACAGAAGGTGTCGTAACGGCTCAGTCAAGGAAACCTTTAATATTTAGTATCATAATTGACTTGTATGCCACTTTTCATGTGAAATTGATGACCAGACCTCAAAACTGAATAGATAATTTATTCACAGCTAAATTCTCTTGGTTTTTTAAGCTTAATTTTCAGGAAATGCTTTTAGCTTTCTGTTTGGTGTAAACTTAGTTGTATGTTTCCATTAAAATAATTTTTGGAAAAATTATAATATTAATATTTACTTGATTTTTACTTCTTGGTAAAAGTTAAATAATCTGATAAAGAAGCCAAATGTATGACTCCATCTCTGCCCTCTAAACTTTTGTTACAGAACTAATGGTAAGTTGTTGGAATCAAGAAATGATTAGCTTAATCTTTATTTAATCTTCCGTGTTTGTAATAGCATTTTTTGTTAATTTAAATACTTACGAAGTTGAAATTTGTTTTTTCAAAAATGTCTCGGTGTTTCTTTGTAAATTAGTCTTGTTGATTCGTTAGGAATGAGCATCTCATTTAAATATGTAAAGCACTTGAGTAAAATGCAAAATTTATGTAGTTGGAAAACTCTTGACTAAACCATTTGTCTTCATTTTTGACATGACCGCTTCATTTTCAAAGTACTGGCCTAGTCAGCCTTTCCTATACTTTAGGTAATTCCGTGAAATTGGAAATTCATTCATATTGTAGCCACTTCTTAAGTACCTCATGGCTGCATTTCAAAGAATTATTTTTCTTGTGTATAGCAACCCTAAGCCATCATCTAGGTTATTAATGGATTAACTTTTCTTTAATCTGTCATTCCACTGGACCATAAGTAGAGCTGTGAACAAGTTCAATTCATTACTTACTAGAGCGCATGGTTCCCTGACAGAAGCATTCACTACTGCAGTGTTGTTACTCTGACGGAGAATCTGATACCATATATATGAAAACACCTTTCAGTTAAATAAGAGGGCATGCAACACCTAGGATACTGTTAGGCAAAGTATCCCCATATATTTCCTCTTCATAGACAACTGTCTTCCCCCTTTGCTTCAGACCTTAGTACCTGATGGTGAGGAACAAAGGGCAGAGGTGGGGCTTGGGCAAGAGGGAAACTTTTCTGAACTTCTCTTATTCAAGAAACTGGGCCAGCCATGGAGGCTAACACCTGTAATTCCAGGACTTTGGGAGGCCAAGGCAGGAGGATTGCTCAAGGTCAGGAGTTCAAGACCAGCTTGGGCAATATAGCAAGACCCTGTCCCTAGTAAACATTTTAAAAAACAGAAAATTAGTTGGGCATGGTGGCATGCACCTGTAGACCCAGCTGCTCCCCAGGCTGAGGTGGGAGGATTGTTTGAGCCCAGGAGTTTGAAGCTGCAGTGAGCTACGAGTGCACCACAGCACTCCAGCCAGGGTAACAGAGCAATTAACTTTTCCTTAATCTGTCATTCCACTGGACCTAGATGATTACTGTGGCCCTACAGATTGTATATAGATTATATCTAGTGGCCCTAGATATAAACTTGGAGTAGACTCTTCCTAGGCTACTCTCAGCCCTTCATCCTATGATCTGAGAGACCAAAAAAAAAAAAAAAAAAGCCTCTTTATCAACACTAAGGTTAAAAGAAACAAAAATTACCTATGGGCTGAGGGTTCAGGGCTCAGTTGACCTGATGCCTTCCTGAATCCCTAGGTGACAAGGAAACTACACTCTTGATAAACTCTCTAACAGGAGCCATCAGACTCATCTGATTGCCAGCCCTACAAACATTCTTTTCTCATCAGCACACCTGCAGATTAAGCCAGTTTCAGCCAGCTTATAGAGGCTGTACCACAAACTTTGTGTTCTGTAGTTCACCTTTTAATGTAAAGGAGCCAAACTCCACCTCATTTTAATGTCAAAAGCCCACTGTAGAGTGAACATGAGATGTATGTTGCACATATGTCTATCCATTGGGCACGTACTCGACACCTCCCCCTCATAAATACGTACAGCTTTTCTGCCAATCCTACTGAATGTGTATGACTATTGTGTGATACAGCACAGTGAAGCATCAAACCCAACCTCTCTTCCCCTCTTAGAAGAGAGAGCACCTTCATCCAGGCTGAAGACTATCTCTT